AGATAACCTCGAAAAAATATCAAAAATAAATTAAAAAAAAGAGAAAAAAAGAGCTTTTATTTTTTTATCTTGAGCACTCCTACTTTACATTTCCCTCTTTTCTAGTCTTTATCAATCGCAATACTTTAAATTAGATTTGAAAACTTTGAAAATGTCGGTGATCAGTGCTATTTACAATTTACTGTAAAATATTGATTCCTATGACGCTGTAATACAGATGACCCCCCATTTAATCCAAAGTCTTAAAATAATTTACAATATAATATAAAATAAATTCTGAAATTATCGATTAAGATTTAATTAAGATTAGTTACTTTTGTCGATATCGAAGCTAATGCACGCATTGCCTTCAACAATTTCTTTTAGAAAGCACTGTTATCTAATGACGCAAAAATATATTATCTACAATAAACAGTATGTATATGTGTAAGTAACGGCATAAGCTTTCAATTGACATAATTTAACTTTTCATGTTTATAGTCATTTTCAATTTTAATACACTATTTTCTAGTCGAAATAGTAAATTGAAATTCTCAGCCCATGTTTGCCTTTGTTTTTAGCATAATCGAGTAGTTTAATTTTCAAATTGACTAATTCTATTCATTAGGGTTATTATTTAATATACTTCAATGATTAATACAAGTTAAGAATTCATAGAAATTCTTTACTTTTTATAGTTCCTATATTTGTTAATTATTACTATTTCAAGTGCGAACATCGAGAATACTTAAAATAAGTTTTAAAAAAAAGAAAAGAATTTTTGCAAAATCTATATCTATGTATCTAATTATAAAAGCATTGCATATTATACATATATATATGTATATATATTTGTTTATAATAAATAATCGTCTTTATAATAATATTCTTACTCAATTTACAGTTTCATCTCATATTTTCAATAAAGAAAAATAATTATGACATATAATCAACCCCATAAGTATAATATTTCATTTTATTTTTATGTGGTACTAGATTATAAAAAATGATAAATGCGATTATTTTTATATGAAAAAGGATATTTTTATTTATTATATTTCATCATATTTTTAAAAATTGCAAGATATTACATTTTATTTTATTGTTAACGTATTATGATTATTTGAAAGATAAGATAGTTTAAATAAAAATCAAGTAAAACAAAACAAAAAAACTATTCGGCAAAATTTATGATTAAAAATGTATTTAATATTTATGCCAAATTAAGTATGTTGGCTAAAATAATTCTATACTAACATTAAAAACATATGATATTTATGTTGTTTGAACTTTACTGAATATCAATTTATTCCGAATTTGTAGTTTAATATTATAAGTCTAAAATTGTTAAATTAATTCGGTAGAAAAATTCAGTGAATGAACAAGTGAATAATAAATAGGTTTTCAATTATAATTAAAATCATATAAATTTGTATAATTTATCATAAATGATGGATGTATTAAAATCAATAAAAATTGTCACAAAAAATATTTAGTTCTTAAAACGGTTGTATTTTAAAAATAAATAAAGAAAGAAACAAAAATATTACATAGTCATTTGTAAATTTTCTTATAACCAACATAAAATATATTAAACATCTTTATTTTCCAAGTAAAATATAAGAATAACATGTTTACGATCAATTATGACAATTAAGAAAAAGTATACTTTTCACTCTAACACAATTCGCACCTTAAAATTTGAAATATAAGAATAATATTTTATAATATATCTATGTCTATTTTTCATAATATTGTTTATTTTTTAAAATAATATTAATGATGTTATACATTGTATTGTAAAGTATGTATAAACATGAAAGGAATTTAGATTAAAAAAAAAAACATTTAATGTACGATGCAATATTTTATTATAATTACAAAATGCTCATTTGTTTGCTACGATACTCAAAATTTTATAATAACACGGTCTTGTTTAAAGCACAAAAATATTTCCAAAATTGTTTTATAACAGTGATATAATTGCAGAGGAAAACTAGTTTTTAATGCTTATGAAAGTGCAACAATGTTGCACTACACAGCCGCTGGAGAATATTTATATTTATTATTACATTGATAAAAATGGACTAGTAAGCGTAATCGGAAAATGCGCTTTACATTATAAATGTAAATTAGATATTGTTCGGTTGAAGATTGTAAGTTTGAAAATATTTTATTTTGCCACTTGAAGAGTTTTGTTAATACAACTTAATAAATTATGGCTATGAACATTTATTTCCTTACGTCAATTTTCTAGTCCAATTGGGTAGTTGAAAATATTTTTGTTTCTTACAAAATTGACAATTTAATAGTTGAATAGAATTTCTGTTATGAAAATTCAAATCAGCCTTACTTGAATATCAATAAATCAATTATTAAAAAAAAAAGATTAAATTATTTTTGATACCCAAGAGAAAATTACATTGTAATTGAAAAAGTTATTGTACTTATATTTGCAATAAAATTGAATATATTCTGTTCATAATTAAAATTTTAATTTATTAAGTCGTTTAATTATAATATTAACAATTATCGAATAATACTGAACATTTCAATTATTTTTCTGCAATTCATTTTTATATTTTTCAAGTAATTATAATCTTATTTAAAATGAACATATCAAGTATAATGAAAAATTAAATAGATTCTTACCAAAAATTATTTGAATATCTTACTATATGAATACATAACGATATATTAAAAATCTATAACTAATTAAATTTTTTCGTTTAACTTTAAGCTTTCTAAAAATATCTTTAGTCCGTTTGAGCATTTTATTTTTAATTCATTTTGTAAAACCCAAAATTTAATTTTTGAATTATCGAATCACAATCATTTTTATTATTATTAATAAAATTATTATTTATTAACAAAAATTAAATTTTTTCTAATTGTAATTACTAATTAAATTTTATATGGGCAAAGTTGAATAACTATTAATTTTTCCAAGAGACAAAATTAATTAAAAAATAAGTCATAAACTTTTGGAATACCAAATTGTTTAATGTATAAGCTCGTATACTTTCTATAATAATAGCTTTACCATAAATTTGCCATAAAGCAAAAACTTGAATAATTTATACATATTTCTCATAGTCTCATTCTTAAATGCAACATGTAATAATAGCAATATTAACAATATCGAAACTTTTTTTCATCTTAAAATATACGATCAACGATATAACTTTTTACATTTGAATTGTATCAGGCTTATGAAAATTGTGCGCAAAATTTAAAAAAGAACAAGACACTTTAAGATGCAATGAGGTGCATCGGTATTCATTATAATGTATAAGTTTTGCTTTTGTTTCAGTCCTTTATACGAGTTGAGACTTTTTCAAACTTTAATAAGTTTTATAAAGTGTAAATATTAATTTGTTAAATAACAATAATTTAATTGTGGAATTAAAATACTACTATACTTTTTTTATGTGCATGCGCGTATGTGTGTACATAAATAAATAAATATATATATATATATTTATATATATTAATTATTATTGTAATCAATACTAAATTAATATTTGAATTTGTTTAATAACATGAAGCAAGTCTTTACATACACTTCATATCTGAAAATATTAAGATACTGAAATTTTTTTAAAAAAAAAAGTGAACATTTATTAAGTCAAAGGTATTTTAATTGATATAACAAATTTTCATTTGGAATAATAAAATACTAATTATAAATATCAAATAACATTAATAAATTTTCATATTTATTATTAATAATTTAAAGAAATAAATATATTACGTTTTTTGTCAGTGTACAAATATTGTCGAAAATTTTTTACATTATTGTAATATCTTATATGAAAATCTATAAAAACGTTATTCGGGCAAAGATGTTATTATTTAGTGATAATATCATTAAGTACGTATAACAATTTCATTAACAATTTTCGAAAGTTAAATATAAATTGACTAAATTTTTAATCTTATTTCTTTTTTTGTAAAATTTATTATTATTATTTTTTTTTTTTTAATTAGGTTTGATTTATTATTAATATGTCTAGAATTAAATAAAATTAATTTCCTGAATAATCAATAATTTTATTTGAAAATTAGAACCCAAACGATTATGTGCATTTGATGAAAAAAAAAAAAAAAAAAAATACCAATCACAGTCTGCCAGTATTTTGATTAATAACATATTTATTAGATTTATATAACATAGATAAGAAATGAAAATTCTTTTATAAATTTAGAAAATTTTTACTTAAATTCAAATTGATGAATTACATATTGTATTCGTTATTGCAATTTGAACAAGTTTGCATATTAGAAGGTAAAACTAGAATATTTAATTTTTTCCATAGACATTTTTAAAAAATGAATTGATTTAAAATGCAGCCTTTACATTTATAAAAGTACTTGTTGTAACAAGTCACCTTCATTTCTTACTAAACTATTGTCAAAATAATATTTAACAATGTACTCTTCACATTTCAGCCAACTAGATGATGTGATTAGTTAGTAAAATATTAATACATAAGTTCTTTGATCTTTGGTGTAAATTCATCATCTGCATCTTCTGACTTAATATACTATTAAACTCATTTTTTAACATTAGCATATGTTAATGAGCAAAAAGACTAATGCACGTGCGCAATATATACAATACAATATAATCGTAATGATATATTATTTAATTCGGGGCCGTAATATATTTATTGTAAATAACAAAAAGAGTATTTTTTCTTATTTTGTACTACGTAAATATTTATGAATTATATACCCCATAGGCTGCGCATTACATACGTTTTATTCTCTCTTGAAAGACTTGTCATTAATGAACTGTTCATGTCTCATAATGTACATAAATAATAACGACGTCAACAATTTACGCTCACTGTTTATTAGCATTCAAGAATCACAAACTTGGGACTTCACCATTGTAAAAAATCTCATGGTGAACATTGCGTTTTTTTTTTTTTTTTTTTTACTGTCTATTACAATACTGAACTTCATAAATTGAATTATTAAAAAATTAATATCTTATATTATAAAAATAAAATTAATGTTTCGATGGAAAACTAATCACTGTCCATAATTTCGATATCTTTAATTCGTGTTTCTTTAAGATTAGATTCATCAACGTAATTATTTTTAATATTTTTTTCTTCAGCTGATTTTACACACTAAATAAGAAAATAATAATTTAAAAGTATTAATATGCATTCAATGGGCAAACATTTATATGAATTGTTTTGTACAATAATTAAAATTTTCTTTTATAGTTTTTGATTTCATAGTAAAGAATAAAATATTGAATAAATCTTACATCTTCTAATTTTATTCTTGGTGATGTTATTTGCTCTGGAAAGTGCCAGGGCTTATAATTTGGGTTGTTTAATAATTTCCAACTAGGATAGCCAATTGATGCTTTATATAATTTTTTTACCATCTGCAAAAATTTTTTTAAAATAATCAATCGTTAATTTGTAATTATCATCGTAACATGGAAATAGTTTTATAGATAATTAATTTTTACTTTTGGAGCAAATATTTGGGTGACTTTGTTGACTAGCCATACAGGTAATTTCCCATGAGGATCTGTATGAGATACATAACCAAGTTCTGAACCTTCTCCATTGCGTGATGGTCTAACAACGTATCCTAAATATGCAAATGATTAGCTTATTTATACAAACTTATGAAAATATTATATAATGTTTATTAAATTTACGTTTAATTTTTCTATTATAATTACCAGTAAGATAAGAAGTTGCTCTTACGAAATTTTTTTTTGGTGGATAATCCTTATGATATACAGAATGATTTATAATTAGTTGCTCTAAGCCAGTATCGAGCCATGATCTTTGTAATATAAAATCTCGATTTTTTAATGGTGAAGGGCAGGCCACTATGGGTTGAGAATCCAATATTGTGTAAAAAAATAGTTTAATTTTTAATTTTAATAGTTCATGAATTATAAGTACTGTGATTAATATAGACTTACTAGAGTAATAACCTATATCATTATTAGGATTAAAAAAGCCAATGTCCTTTGAAGATATCATATGTGTATCCCATACTTTTCTATATTCGGGATCATGTAAAACATCGTATAGCGTTTCAGGCAGAACGTCAGAAAATCTTGTTCTAATCTGCAATAAAATTTCAAATATACAAACAATCTGACAGACATATAAGTTTTATTTTTAATATACACAGACACCCACATACACACGCACGCGCGCACGCACACACAAACAGGCATATATAAATTTATATTTTTTCTTTCTAGCAGTAAGTAAAAAAAAATAATTTACCTTCACCATTTTAAAACTAATTCCTGGGACGGTTTTGGTCCAAACTGATAAGTCTGGCTTATTATAATCCAATTTCCAGTCATTATTATCATCGTACAGTTTTTTGAGCTTCTCAAAATCTTTGTCTTCTGCGATTTTTACTAGGCCAATATCCATTATAAAATTTTCTACATCAATTGTCCATTAATTATAATTTATTAATATTAATATAATAATGCTGTTTTATTAAAATAGAGAAAATACTATCAATATAGTTCTTTTACATTAGGAATAAATAATAAGCTTTAGTATAATAGAATGAACCATAAAAATTAAGACAGAATTTTAGAAGCTAATTAAGCTAATTCCTGCAAAACAGTTTTTAATCAATTAAACAAACATAATTTAAATATTATAATTGTATAACCATTAGATTAATATTATTATCCAGATATTATTAATGAGTCATAAATAATTCAAATTGCTTACATTTCATGGGATTAGTTAAGTATTGAACAACATTGAATGGAAAATCCATGGATTAAATTATACTTATAGAAAAAAAAAAAAAAAAAAAAAAATATCGACGTACATTAAAAATGATTGCATTTTAATTTAAATAATTTTATTATTGGGCGCTCGATTATAAATTCTACGCGATTACAAAGATATATGACTTCGGAAAAATCAAAGGACATTTTCATATGCCATTTTTAATAAATTAGTCAATGGCAATTAAAGACGACGTAAAATGTAAAAATTCCACGTTGCACTTTAATGTACACGTGAATGTAATCAAGGAAATCAACGAAAATCTATGTATCTACCGAACGATAATTATAGTAAATTCTAATCATTTTAATGGTAAAAGTATCAGCGAGTAGTAGGATAAATAGTGACCGAAAGTAGAAATGTTTGTAAACTCATCTCCACAATAACCTAGAAGCAGCATTGTTTAAAACGAATATTATAATAAGCACTTACGCAGTTAGCTTGACTAGTCACCAAAAAATTCACGTCAACGTCACCGTTGTCGTTAGCTTTTTAGAATTCTCCGATCAGATAAACGAATGGCGAATCATTATCGAACAGCGGCCACGCGGACTATGATAAGAAGTCGGCCGAGGAGGTCCAAAAGACACCCGCAATGTGTGTTCCAGTTTTAGTAGCCCCGGCAAAGTCCATTGCGTCCGTCTCGGCGCCTAGCACTTCTCAGTCTTCGGAATCCGCGCGCCGAACAATGACCGATGATTCCCATACCTTCGCGTCGTCGTTTTAAGGAAAGTAAGGGGAGTTGCGCGTACCGATTATCCTTGCCTGTCTCGGCTCTTCCCCAGCTCCAGCGCTGGAGCAACAGTAGTAGGAGGAGTAGCGCCGTTTTCCTTTCATCTTCGTGTGCGCGCGTGCGATCCGCAGATTTTCTTCGGCTTTATCGATTTGCGCTGCCGAAAATGCACATCCACTCCTCTGCAACGTGCAAACTTACACGTGTATATTACACCGTAGGCGCGCACACAGTCTCAAAGTTTCTTAAGGCCAGAGACGGATAAGTTTCATTTTCTTGTTGATGGTTGAGCAGCTGACGAGGCAGACGATATTTTCTCCCTTCGCCCCCCCCCGCTGCTCGCCAGCCCCACTGCTAATCCCGACAAGCGCTCAGGTTAGGTTGAAATCCGCTCTAATTTATTACGTAGAGTGCATGGCAAATGCTGTTTATTGTGGTGGGTTGTGGTAATCGATCGATTTTGCGTCGTTTCTCGTTCTTTAGCATTGCACATTGTCGTGTATGCTACGTTAATTTACAATGTATTCCGCCTCTCCTCCCACCAAGCAAATCACCCGTCGTCATCCCAGTGTTACGTCTATGCGCATAAAATGCGCGCACTGTGCATAAAATTTGAAGTCGACATAGTCGAAAGTAATGTGTTTTTATGAGAATTCAGGAGCGTCGATTAGACTCTTACGTATCATAATGCAATCGGATATTCCATTCAATTACGCGTTAAATTCAAGTACGCAATTATTTTCCACATCGTTCATGAATCGACTTTGCCTTCCAATTCACGCGCCAATAGGTATTCTCTCTTTGGAGATTTGCGTCGATCAATTATCATTACATTGATTCCAGATAGTCGATTGCTTTAGTTACTTGGGAAAAGTGTTTTCTAACAGCGCGTCTATTGGCGATCGATATTAATCTCCACTATAAGTGTATATGCATTCTTAGACTGTTAACGAGACATTACGAGAGATTAAATAACGAGTCGTGTGAAATCTTGTGATTTTACAAATACGCAATGTTTTCTATACAAGTTATGGAGACTTGATTGGACTTTGCGGTAAAAGTTACACTTTCGATGACAAAATTCAATTGTACGTTTGTACAAAAACCATATGTCATTTAACACTAATACTCAATTAATAATTGGCAAATGTTATCTTGCGTCATTGACAATGCTGCTCGCCAGCCCCACTGCTAATCCCGACAAGCGCTCAGGTTAGGTTGAAATCCGCTCTAATTTATTACGTAGAGTGCATGGCAAATGCTGTTTATTGTGGTGGGTTGTGGTAATCGATCGATTTTGCGTCGTTTCTCGTTCTTTAGCATTGCACATTGTCGTGTATGCTACGTTAATTTACAATGTATTCCGCCTCTCCTCCCACCAAGCAAATCACCCGTCGTCATCCCAGTGTTACGTCTATGCGCATAAAATGCGCGCACTGTGCATAAAATTTGAAGTCGACATAGTCGAAAGTAATGTGTTTTTATGAGAATTCAGGAGCGTCGATTAGACTCTTACGTATCATAATGCAATCGGATATTCCATTCAATTACGCGTTAAATTCAAGTACGCAATTATTTTCCACATCGTTCATGAATCGACTTTGCCTTCCAATTCACGCGCCAATAGGTATTCTCTCTTTGGAGATTTGCGTCGATCAATTATCATTACATTGATTCCAGATAGTCGATTGCTTTAGTTACTTGGGAAAAGTGTTTTCTAACAGCGCGTCTATTGGCGATCGATATTAATCTCCACTATAAGTGTATATGCATTCTTAGACTGTTAACGAGACATTACGAGAGATTAAATAACGAGTCGTGTGAAATCTTGTGATTTTACAAATACGCAATGTTTTCTATACAAGTTATGGAGACTTGATTGGACTTTGCGGTAAAAGTTACACTTTCGATGACAAAATTCAATTGTACGTTTGTACAAAAACCATATGTCATTTAACACTAATACTCAATTAATAATTGGCAAATGTTATCTTGCGTCATTGACAATTGACAAGATCTTTATAGCTCGCTAGTGGTTACGCATGCGCGTTGTTAAGTTTTGCCTTTGAAAATGCGCATGCGTATTATGTAGCTACGGTTGCTCGAATAATGGTGTTGCAATTTAATTTTTTTTTTTTTTTTTTTTTTTTTTTAATATACAATATTGTAAATCACCGAGCATTAACAAGATTGATTAGAAATAATTGATAGATAAGCCTTTACAATATTGCGATGTTAAAATCATCAATAAGTATGCGATGAGTAATCTTGATGGTTGTTCGTGCAAGAGCATTATAATTTTCTTTTCTTTTCTTTTAAAAAATTAATATAAATTATTATATCGAATAATTAACAAAAAAGGAAAAAGGATTAGGATAAACAAAAAAAAACAACAAAAAATGGTATTACAATCCAACTATTATTAATAGAAAGCTAAATACAAAACTTGATTTTTTTTCTTTAACTTTGAAAATGTAAGCTGCTGTTTGTAAAAAGTGCGAATCGTCGTGGCGGAGGAGCAGGGGAAGGTTGTGGGGCGGGGGAGGGGGAGGTGATCTTGGTATATATAAAATTTTATTGACGAGATAACCGACTACTATTCCCATCTGAAATTACGATAAATGTGCACGTAATAAATCTTTTTGTTTTGTGTAGTGAATTTCGCTACAGCAGTGTTAAATTCAACATATGAATATCAAAGTTTGTTATTATATTTTTAAATTAACTACGTTCATCTCATGAATTTTACAAATTTATTTTTTGCAGTACACATAGTTTTCCCTAAGTAGCTTTAAACATGTGAATACTTTTCCACTTTGTTAAACTACTAATTCGTGCATTTAATTGTATTGTAACGTAGACGACCTGATTGGACTTATAAAAATTATCATTTGCTTGGTAAATTAAGCATGAGAAGATAAGAAGTAAGGGCTTACATGGCATTTTTTTTATATTGATTGACACGTTCACGAGATATTTGATGTAACGTTGTAATGGAATAATAGTTCACACCTATAAGTATTAATACATAATTATACGATTTGTAAAACTGCTCTTCGTCTGCATTTTTTTTAGGAATTATTTTAAAACGCCAAAAATATACTCGTAGATTTGTTAGAAATTGCATGATGTGCATTGTATGTGCAGAAAAACATTTGAATGCTATTTTGTTTGAAAGGCAAATAGTCATTGATTTTTTTTTTATTGTATAGAGCGGTAAATTGAATTGTTAAACAAGAAAAGAAAATATAATAATAATAATTTGGGTTATTCTTACAGCTGATAAGTAATTATAATTTTTGATAAGTTTTTTTTACAAAAATTGTGAGCCATGGCACCTAATTGTGTGAATACTGGGAATTCAACTCTCGATGATCAAATCAACGAATGGTTGAGTTGGAATAAAGTAAGTTGAATTTTATGAATAGATAATAATATTTCATAAAAAAAAATATATATAAATATACAATTTTAGTATAATTTTATTCTGTAGAAAATGAAAGAAAAAAATTTAGTTATAATTTGAATTTATTTCTATTCAGACTATTATTCATTCTATTCATTTAGCAAAATATCTAAAACTATTATTTAATAGAATTATTTATTATTAATTCCACTATAATTTAATAAAATAAGCCAGAGTTATTAAGTGAAAATTATTTTGTAATACTATACATTTTCTATTACAAAATTGAAAAATATTTGATATAATGAGAAACTATTGTGTATTAATTGGAATTTTCATTCTAAAACTAATGGAGAACTTTATTTTTTAATATTAAATAAGCAATTTTTTATGATTAAGGATATCAAAGCAGAAATGGAAATAAAAAATTTAATTGATAATGGACAGATTAAAACCTTGTCACAATTATTTCTCAAAAGACTTGAATTTGGTACTGCTGGCCTTAGAGGACAAATGGGTCCAGGATATAATCAAATGAATGATTTGGTTATTATACAAACTGGTCAAGGATTAGTGAAATATTTATTAAAAATCATTCCCGATGTTACAGAAAAAGGTATTATTTTAGGATACGATGGTCGATACAACAGTAAAAGGTAATAGTTATTTCTTCAATAATATGACTTTTAAAACTATCGATAATGAATATTATTATACATATATTTTTACCTTAGATTTGCTGAATTGACCGCAACTATTTTTTTAAATAAAAAAATTAAAGTTTATATGTATTCGAAGGTTTGTCCTACACCGTTCATTCCATACGGTGTACTTAAATACAAATGTGCTGCCGGTGTTATGGTCACTGCCTCGCACAATCCTAAAGAAGATAATGGCTATAAAGTCTATTGGGAAAATGGATCACAAATTATCACACCTCACGATAAAGAAATTCAGAAAAGCATTTTAGAAAATCTAGAACCTCTACAATCATCATGGAATACATCTTCTATTTATACTAACTCGATATTTAAGGATCCATTAACAGAAGTGATGGAAGCATACTTTAGTGATATTAAAAAAAATGTTTTATACCCAGAAGTTAATAGAAAAACTTCATTGAGGTTCACTTACACTCCTGTACACGGTGTTGGTTATAATTATATGGCCGAAGCGTTTAAAGTTGCTAATTTCAATGTAAAAATTTCAATCATACAAATATAAAGTAAATATACACGTATATATATCTAGAAGCACGTGATAATTAATATTTTTCTTTTAGCCCTTTATTGTAGTTGATGAACAAAAGAATCCAGATCCTGAATTCTCAACGGTTAAGTTTCCTAATCCTGAAGAGCCTAGTGCACTAGAATTAAGTATTAAAACGGCAAATGATAATGATTCTACGATTATTATAGCTAATGATCCTGATGCAGATCGACTTGCATGCGCTATAAAAAATAAGTGAGTCTTAGTTATTAAAAATAAATAGAATAAAAATGAATAGAAACAAATCATCAAACGGATACATCTTAAATATGATTAATAATGGAAAATAATCTTTATACTCTATTAGAAATCTAATAAGAGTTTTTGTAGTCATGTGCATAAGTAATATGAATTTTCAGTGGTGATTGGCATGTATTTTCTGGAAACGAGCTCGGAGCTTTATTAGGTTGGTGGATGTTACATACATTTAAAGTGAGACAACCTGATTGTAATCTCGCAGATGCTTATATGATGGCATCCACTGTGTCTAGTAAAATACTGGCATCGATTGCAAAGAAAGAAGGCTTTAAATTTGAGGTAAAAACAAAATTTTCAATTATTCGATCAATTACTTTAATTATTCTTTAATTATTTTAACTAATATTTCTCAATTCTTTGAAGTAAAGAAAATGATTTTTGTTAAGATTTCGGTATATATTTGATTAAGAATACATTAAGGCTATATTTTATAATAAAAGTCTTTTTAGCGACAATACTTTATGTTGTAATGTTAAAATTAAAGGAAACTTTAACGGGCTTTAAGTGGATGGGCAATAAAGCCTCTGAATTGATCAAATTTGGAAAGACAATTTTGTTCGCTTATGAAGAAGCTATAGGATTTATGTGTGGCTCAAACGTATTGGATAAAGATGGAGTGAGTGCTGGTACACGCATTGCTGAAATGGCAGCATATCTTCAAACAATGGGTTTTACACTGATCGATAAATTAAACGAAATATATAGCGAGTAAGATAGTTTCCCATGATAAATTATTCAAACGATTCAAATAAGTTTATCTAAATATTGAATTTTTCTTTAGGTATGGTTATCACATTAGTGATAATTCTTACTGGATTTGTCATGAACAAGAAACAATAAAAAGCATTTTCAATCGTCTGAGAAATTTTGATGATAAAGCAAACACCGTAAGTTTTATATTATATTTAATATGCCCAGTGCATTGTAAAAAATATTAAATAGTTTTGTTATTATATAATATTAGTCGGTATAACAATCAATTCCGTAATTAATTATGAACTATATATATTTATCAAGACTCGATACTTGTCTATAATTTATATTTGATATTTATTCTTAAACTTATCATTGGATTATTGTAAAAATATGAAATACTTTTGAAATAGATACTTATTCTTTGAATATACTTTTTTACTTTATGAAATGCATCATCACTTTAAGAATTTAGATTTTTAAACATGAGACTATTTTTACTTGTAATTTACATATAAAATTATGCATTAAAATACATAATTATTAAGTTTCATCGAACCAATTCCTTATATTTTTTATTATATGTAACCAATTACAAATATTTAAACATTAATATTTCCTTTATTTTTATGATTTATTAATAATGAAAGAAAGTCAATAGACTCTTAAAGGATATTGATTACTTAACTAGGCTTTACTACAAAGTTAAAATCAACAATTTATAAAGATAAATATTTTTAATTCAATTTAAATATGTATTCTCTGAATTAGAAAAACTTCATTTTTGAAAATACATTGGATTTAATGTTATTTGGTACGTTAAATATATACACATATATGTGGAATATTTTAATATTAAAAAAACACTTTTTATTCCATGCTTTTCATATCCTAATTGTGTTTCTTATGTAATAAATATTTTATTAACTCATGTAAATTTATTGTAAAATGACTTAAAACTTTAATATTTTTATTATATCGGCTGTCGTAAGATTATAAATATTAATGTTTGTTTCAAAAGATATTTAAATCAATTGTTCTTTTAACGTGATTCAAAAGTTTTTAAAATGTACTTTTAAATGTTATTAAAAAATGTCTAAAATGATGTAACCATTTGTATAGGTACATATATGTGAGTATATGGATGCGCGTGTATGTGCATAAAAATAATTCCAAATATTTAAACATAAGTTTGTACGTTATATGTATATGTATATATATATATATATATATATATATATATATATATATATACATATACATACACGTAGATGCTTATTTACGTTTGGGTGCGTGTGTGATTATTTATTCAGACGAGAGGAATCGGAAATAATTTGTAAAAAAAAATTTGACCAACGATTATAAATTAGAATAAAAGTCGCGTCAGTCGTTCATAATAAACGGATGGGATGAGCATTGATACGCGGGGTGGGGGTAATTCTTCCTAATGTAACGAGTATATTTATATGAAATGCATGCCTATGACTCGTGGAAATTCGCGAGCGGCGTCTTAATTATTTCTAAGTGCTCATAGGCTACGGCAAAAATCACAGTTGTGCGCGTATGTTACCGCAGATATTCAAGGTCGACGAGTACTACTGCCCATTCCCAACCAGAAGTGCGCATTTGTGTAATAAAGCGATGATCGAAGAAGGGGCCTTTCCAGTCAATCGCTAAGGTGTGCATTTGTTAGAAAAAGTTCTTGCTCAAAATAGACTGCTATTCGCATCTCACATCCTGCAACTTGTATAATAAAAATTCATTGGAGGAAAAATCACTGTCAAGCGACTATTTCGTGCTGCTTGCACGAAGGAGGAGCGCGCAGCTGAAAAAATTGAAGATTTATTAAAAACTTTACAAACATTAATAAAAAGAAAACAGTAGTGGGACTTGGGCCGCTCAACTAAATGTCTTTGTTTTCCATGCGTACGTGTTTTCGTCTTGTTTTTTAATCACGGACGGTAGGTTGCCGTCGAAAAGGTTCGATAAGCAGCAGCGGATCGTTCGACGAAAGTACGTTCAGTGTCGTTATAATTTCATATGATAATGAACGACATGTCAAAACGGAAGGCACTGTGGGTTGAAAAATTACAGAACATGTTTTTGATATCTCTGACGCTAGTACCTTCTTTCCTTCTGTTTGTGCTTGCTCTACCTGTTGTGCAATCTCTATATTATCTCACGCCCTTCTTCGACGAAAGCGAGATTAACGCAATGTGAGTTTACATCTTTCTTTCTTTTTCTTTTCAAACAATTAAACTATTAATGCGATCGCTTTAATATTCTCCGCCTATAATTAATACGTGTATATATATATATATATATATATATCATACTCATTGCTGTTGAATAAGTCGTTTAAATAAAACTTATTTAAACTTATTCAATTAATAATTGAATACACTTAATAAATAACGCATTTCCGCTAATAATTCGATATCTTTTTCAACATATATTCCTTTATGAATAGAACTATACTCATTTTTCAGTTTAAAAAAAAAATTTTTTTTAATATTTTAAAGATACATCTATTTATAAAATCGAATTTTTTGTCTTGATCTAATTAATTGTAAATTGCGATCTGTTGTGCTCCGTTGGCCTTTTTTTTTTTATTTCTTTTAGAGCGCCTTAGAGGCTGTCACATTCTTATTATAATTTATTAATCTTCTAAAAAGACTCTAATCAAATATCGATTCTAAATCTTTTTAAGTGAGCAAGAGATGTTTTAGAAATCCGACATTTATTACCGAAGAAATTAGCAAAAATTATGGAATAAATTTTTGTTAAAACTTCTTTCATTGTTATTCATACGTTATGTATGATCGTATAAAAATACTACTCGTTCGCTTGCTTGTCTATTAAAAAATTTAATTTTCAAGAATCATTGTTATTGATTTTTAAAAATTCATTAAATATAAAAAGAGATTCTTGTGTTAATTTTTTCAATAATTTTTTTTTTCTTTTCTTTTTTTTAATATTTATATAACATTAAATCCAACATTATCTAGGCCTGATATTGAAAATATTTATAAATTTATGAGATATTGAATTGGAAAAATTACTTAAATTGTTACGATCCTTTATGTAGTGTATCGTAAACGTAATGCGATTTCTGTGAGCTTTGTCACAAGTTTGTCTAATCAAGAAAGGACGTTGTAGGAAAATGTAGAATTATAAATAATCGAAAATAAATATGCTTAATTAAAGTATAAAAACTAGAAATTAACTACTGTTGATATTTATATAATCAGATTTATCATGCACATATTTTTCCTGTGATTATTTGTCCTCGATTATTTTATTGTTGTCATTCTTTTATTTTTGCGCGATAAGAATATGGCGGAATAGGGGGGGGGGGCGTAAGATAAGAGAAATGTGGTCTATCAGTATAGGTTATTCATATCATGTTCGTGCGGAACTTTTAAAGAATCGTATTTATTTATATAACATTATATATCTATATATATATATATATATATATATATATATATATACACCCACACATATGCGCGTGCGCTCGCGCGCGAATATCGTTATATCTAATTGCAAAACCAATATGGTATACTTCAAATTCAATGTAATAAATAATTCCAATACAGTTTTTACACGTTTTCATTTATAAGGTACATTCGCTTTACATTACCTTTGAATTATCTATTTTATAAATTAATATAAATATAATTTATATAAATGTTCTAAATGATATACCGTGAAGTTAGAAAGTCATTGGATATATTGACATCTCGTAATTAATACATTAAATTTTAATTAGATTTTTACGTTGCATATATATTTCAATTGGGATATATTCTTCTTGACATTATCTATAAATATTAATTATTTTAATTTAATATGCATTAAATACTTTATAACTTTATATAATTATTTTCTGGAATATATAATTTATTTTTAATTCTTAAATCTAGTATATCATTCTTACTATTTTTCTTATAATCTAGGCTTTTAGATTTGAAAAGCCAAAGTTATTCTAAATTTTTAATGTTTATTATAGAAAGGCTATTTATATACTATTTTCAGCAAGTAACGATATACTTTTGTATTTTCTTGAATTGCAAATAATGTAAAGTCGCTGGCATTGTTAAGAGTAATTATTCCAATTTCGTCCATTACAGTGTTGCAAAATCCTAACAATTTTTAAAGTAGAATTAATTTTGCATTTTCATTTTTCATACTATAATTTATGCGATTAATTAAAATAATTAAAATCAATTTTTCACGTAGTGTATTCACTAGTGTAATTAATAAAATGACTACATACTTTTAATAAATACTTTTTCAAATCAAAACAATTAGATATAATTTCTGAAATTAGGATACGTTTAATGTTCAACTGATACCCAGTATTTTTGATATTTAAATATATCTTATAAATAATGCGGCCTAGTTATTTATCGAGACAATGTAGAGTCTGCGGAAATAAATTTTAATATTATTAGTCGAGATTGACTAATTCAAAGAAAGGCTTTGTATAATATTTGAGAAAACGTCGATTTTAGTATATGGTATAAGATATAAAATTTAAATATTTTCGCTAAATTGAATTGATGGAACAAGAGAAAACAAAATAGATGATGCAATTAATTTACAATTCTTATTATCAACAAAAAAAAAATTATGACATCAAAGAATTATTATTTTGACTCGAGTAGAGGAAATTGAACTAAAGATATCGACTTAAGGTGATCGACTTTTGTCTGTTCCCGTTCCCGATACAAATTGATTTTTTTTTTTACGTCTATTGAAAATTAAACGTTTGTTCCAATTTATTTCTGATATTTTAAATAATTGTTCTTTTTATAAATTAAATTCTCTAGTCAGATTGCTAAATATTTTTGTTATTTTTTCAAGATATTGTCCTTAACAAATTACATACGAGGTGTTATAATATTTTAAAAGATAGTTTTAAAATGTGATCAGAAACTTTTTTAAGTATATTTTTATGAGTGTATATATATATATATATATATATATATATATATATATTTATTTATTTATTTATACACATATACGTATACATTGAATAATGCTAAAATATTTGTGAATTCATTTTTATATTATTTACTTTACAAGTCGTAGCAAACAATATTTTCATAGTAATAATTTAAATTTATACAATTGATATATTTTAGTGATATTTATGTTTGTTAAGTAGATCGACTTCTTTCGGTTTTCATGCATGAACGAATTAAATTTTTAATTTTTGAAAGATATTTTTCTACTTTCTATCGACTTTTTAATTATATTGTTTATTATAATTTGTATTAATATTACAAAATAATATAATAAAATTATTAAATTATTATACCCTTAATTTTACACTTGCCACGTATAAAATATCATTTTATAAATTATAATTAAAAATGAGTTCTTGTATATGCGTAGTTTTATGAAAATATATGAGTGAGCTAAATAGGCATTATATTTATCTAATATTGAATTTTACTTTTTAGTATCCAACCTGCATTCTTGAAGGAAAATATCCTATCAGAAGCGTTCGAGACCTAACCACTGGGTATGATAACACTCAGCCTGGAAATCGAGCAGTTTTACCTGTTTCCAATTCAAGTCAAATGATAACGTTTACTTTCAAAAATGGTTTAGTTACCACTCTTCGAACTAGTGGTACAGAACCAAAAATTAAATATTATAATGAACTTTGTGCTTCTCCAGATCAAAAGTATGTATGATTATTGGTTATGAAAATTTAAAGACTTTTTGTGAATCTCTATTTTAATTAATATGTATTTTATTGTAGGGATGTAACGAAGCTACAAAGTATTTTGACCGAAATGGTATCTGCTATTGTCAAAGAGCTTTTGCAGCCTGAAGCAAATAATTTAATTGCTCGTAGCTAGTATATATTCTAATCTATGCCAACATTAAAAACACTATTTAGGGAAAATATATTTATTATAATTATGAAAATTGCACTGGCGAACGAAACTATTTTTTAGTCAAACGAACTTACAATAATATTTTTTTTTTTAATTTGTTATTAAAATTATATCGAACCTAATAAGAATATTTATTATGAGTGCTTATATTAAAGTAAAAAGTTGAAAACCTTTCTTTTCTTTTTTGTTAATTTGGTCTCAATTAGGGCTTATAACGAAGTAATAAATAAATTAATAAATCTTCGTATGCTTAAATTCTTCTTTTTTTATAATTTACAAATTTTTTTTACAAAATACATTTTTTTTTTTTTTTTTTTTTTTTTTTTTTTTTTTTACATAATACATTATTATTTACAAATATTATTTTCATGATTCTAATTATTTATACTTATGCCAATTAATCATTTTTATATGTGTACAAATCTTAATGATAAGTCTTATTTATTTTTCATATAATTGCCTTTGTCAGTCTGTCCTTGAAAAGTTATACACTGAAATTATTTTGATTAATAATTAACTTTCATGTCAATTTCATAACAATTAAAAATGATATTGCGATACCAACCTGTTCATCAAGAAAATTCATCAAATCTTTCAGTTTACATTTGAATCCATTTTCTTTCAACATTGAATGTAAAGATTCTAGTGGTAGAGGTTTGTACATTAAAACTTTTGTGTATAATTCTTTGTTAGACTTGATTAGTCTAAAAAAAGCTTCTTTAATACTTAAAGTACTTTCTAATGTGGCGGTAATATAGGATCCATTGTTATGTATTTTATCTGCCCTTATTGAACTATAAGTATTAGAAAATATTTTACGAGATAATTATTTGTATTATAATAGCTGTTTTGATAGAATAAATATATTGATCGTTCCGTATCCTACCAATTATTTAATTTTGATTCATTATTTTTCGAGATATTGCTTTTAAATTTTTTTCTTAAATTTTGCTTTTTAAACAGATATTCTTCATCGCTTGAAGAATCAAAGATTGAAACTCGTTTCTGTGATAAAGCAACTGTTGGGTGCGTTTGATTGTAAATGTGATTTAACAAAAGTGTCGCTTTATTTCGAGATTGACGTTTTAATCCAAATTTCTTTAATTCCTTCTAAAAAATAAATTATATGATAATTAATAATAATATTTGGTTAAACAATTAATAATTCATTTGGATATTTACTTCTAAATCAGGTGTTTTTAATAAATTATAATTTATAGGTGGTGTTATGTTTGCTTGACTGGAGATTTGTAAAAAATTCTTATTTCGTTTTGGAGTTTCAAACGATGATGATTTTTGTAAATTACACTTTTTATATTCTTTTTCATTAAAATTACAAGTCGATACAGATTTCACTTTGAGTTTTCTAGTTTTTTCAGAAAGCTGCATAGGTAATTCAATACGTTTTTCTTGATTTGAATTAAATTTAGAAGATGGAATGCGAATTGTTTTAGAATTTTGCCTGTTTTGACACAAAATTGGCGAAGATATAATATGCGATGCATGTGACGTTTGCGATTTTATAGGCTTAGGCGAAATATAACATTGCTTATTTAATTCCCTATTAGAAATATTTGAACTTGTATTTACGTTCCATAATTCATTTTGATTAATATTTCTTTGCGAGGCGAAAGATTCATTTATATTTGCACATTTATTAAATTCTTGTTCATTAGTGTACCTAAAATCAACTGAATTAAACTCGACAATTTGTTTATTATCCGAACTTTCGAGTATTTCCAAATCAATGTCTGTTTTATTGGATTTATTTAATATATCGTCAAATATACTGTGTTCTGGGCTAGAAATAATTGATATTGGGCTTAGATTTATAATTTTATTTTGACTTGACCGATTTTCATTGTAAGTAAATTCTTGATTAGAGTCTTGACAATAAATTTTCGATGCCAGTAAAGTTTTACCCTTAGCTGGGCAAAACGTCTTTGACTGACAAAGCTTTCTAATTTCAGCATCAACATTGTCATTTTGTTGTTGTGATACCTCTAGACGATTCTCCTGTATAATTTCATTATTTTTTTGCGTTAAGTTATTTTTAGTTTCTATTATATTACATGCTAATTTATCTGAACTCAAAATTGAGTTAATAATTTTAGTCTCTTTATTGTCTTTTAAAGTAGTTGTGTTTTTTGTTGTAGATGTCGATGATTCATTGATCGTTTTATAATTAATTAAACTATCCAAATTACTATCAATATTGGATAAATTACTATTTGATAATTTCAATCCATTATTTTTTTCTTTGATGTTTTTAACTAAGTCACTTTTGTTATAGACGTTTTCTTCATTCAATATTGTTTTAAGACTTTTTTGTAATTCCCCATTATCTGAATCATAAAAAAGACTTATATCATTAGTAATAGGGCTTTGTGATAATATTGCTTTTGGAATATTGGAAGAAATATTAAAATCTAATTTATTGCGATATTTATCTATGCTGTTATTATATTTGTTTAATTTTTTATACTTTGAGTACATTGACATTCTGGTTTCATTAATAGTTGTATTTTCAAGTTCATCGTCACTCGCCGACGATGATAAAGTGGAGTTTTTAATTATGTTTGAACTACTTATTTTTGTACATTTATCACCCAAATCAATTTGGAAATTTGGATCCGAAAATTCATTTAAGTTACACATTTCATTACCATTTGAAAATCTTTTATACTTTTCAGATTCAGCATTATACTTAATCTTATTAATTTTATTTAAATTTTCTTCTTCTAATACATCATTTTCAATCATACTGATAGCTTTTTTATGTACTCGACTTTTATTTCTATCATTCAATAAATATGTAAAAGAATCATTTTGATAGTTTTTAAGGAAGGGATTTTGTTTTTTCACATTAAAGTCTGGACTATCTGTTTCAGAATCTGTATCAAAAATGCCTTTAGCATTTTTTTTATGAACTTTGTCAATAAATAAGCTTAAATTGCTTTTAAGCTTATACACATTTTGTTTATTTGATTTAAAATTATTGTCATTCGATTTTGAAGAAGTTAATGAAGCATTTATTAAACTGTTATTTTTAGTTCTTATTTCATCTAATATATCATCCGGTGGATTGCCTTTATGAACTAATTTTTTCGGTGTAATATAGTCGTTTAACTCTGATGATATATTATGCTCCGGAGATATAGCTTCAGTTATTTGATCACTTTCAGATTCATCTTTTATTAAAATAAAATGTGAAAATTTATCCGATAATCTACATTCTGGAGATGATGTTTTAATCATTTCTGAAATGATTTCATCGCAATTAATTGGAGATACTAGTGTTGGAGTTACGGCTCGATGCATATTTTCTATAGACGAAGGGCTAAAAGGTTTCTCATTTATAGGACTTGAACTGTCAATATTTTGAGACAAATTTATAGAGTTTTTTTTAATATTTTTTACTGTTTGGTTACTTTCTTGAATTTCGAAAGAGTAAATTTCTGCCTCATTTTCTGACTCAAATAAATCTGGAGATTCCGTAATTCGTCTATCAAAATCATTTTTTGCAAATGATTTAGTAATGTTATCATTTATATTTTCAGATTCTTCGGGATACATAGGTAAATCAGATTTTCTTGGGGAGTTTATTGTTTCTATTATCTATAAATGAAAATTAAAAAAAAAAAAATAATTACAGAAATATAATGATAAATTTGCTTTCACATAATATGATTTTATCTTACTTGTATTTCAGGAGAAACAGTTGTTTTAATATCGTCTATTGATACATTCGGTGAAACTTGTTTAGTATTTACATTACTCTCGCAATTATAGATGTTATCAATGTCCTCGATTTCATCAAAATCATTCAATTTTCTAGATATAATTTTGTCGTGTTGTTCATTTAAATATAAAAACAAACTTTGCACTTTATATAATTTTGCTAGTTCTTTAATTTGGAGCATCAAAGTAGCATTATCAAAAACTATTATATTTTTATGAATATCACCGCTATAGATGAATTCTAAAAATGCTAGAGCAGAAAGTTGATCATTCTTATTCCAAGATATTTTATTTTTTATATGAGGATGAGTATTTGAATCATTTGGCACTAAATCAGCCAAAATATTTCTGCATTGCGCATAGAATACTAATTTATGAGCATAAACGTATCTATTATCTTTTACTAAAATAATAATATCACTTTCAGTACTATCATTTAAAATTTCTCCCCAATTATAAGCAATGGTTGTTTTAATGTCCTGTTTTGTATATTCATTTTTAGATTTATTAATGACGAAATTATTTAGTAATTTTTTTGATTCAGTTTGATTTTTCTTATATACAATATCTTCTATTGGTTCGTATACCACTGATTTATTTGATAAAATATCTTCTTGAATATCGTTTATATCATTATATGAATATCTGCCATTCTAATATAAAGTAATATAAGACATTTGTTAAAAACCGTAATCTTAAAAACTTTACAACTACTGCGAAAAAGAATTTTATATTTGCTTACTTACACTCGATTTGTTTTCATCTGGTAAAAAATATAATTTCAATTCTTTGACATAAAAATCACATTTTCTCAATAATTTACTTTTGTCCCACAGTTTGTTGTTCTAAAAGAAAAAAAATTTCTTAATTTAATTTTAGTCTTTAGTCGCATAACTCATAAAAAGTAAAGAATCGTAATGATTTCAATTTTTCAATTCTTTTTTTTTATACTTACCACTTGCTCAATTTCTTGTAGATTTTTGTTTTTCAGAATAGTTGGTGATCTTAATTGTGAAATTAATCCTATGTTTTCTTGAGATTGTGTAATAATATCGTTATCTGTTAAAACATCAGCTATTTTCTCTGTTAATACACGATCTTTGTCTTCTTTCGATCGCGTTTCTAAAATTGTGGGCCCAAGTAATTTTTCTAATAATAATAAAAAATTATATAAAGCTTATTGTAATTAGAAAATTTAATTATCAATGATATTTCGATAATTGTTATACTTTTTTTTGATGATTTGGAAGGAATATTGGCTACTGTTTTGTTCGTTGTAAAACCAAAGCTTTGTAATGTTATTTTATCGTCTTGATCGGCCATATTTTTTAAACATTCTAATGGTACACCAGTCAATAACGCAGTGTGTTCTAATTCTTCTATTTGTTGAGCTTGATATAATGACTTTGACATTGCTAAAACAAGTTGAAGTTGTGGATCATCCCCTGTATTCTAAATAATTAAAACTATTATTTACCTATTAAATTATATCAATAAAAAATTGAAAAAAAAATAGTACAATAAAAAATAAAATAACTTTAACTAAAATCAATTAAATGCTATATTATTAGAAAATATAATCATTCAACATTGATATAAAATTAGTAATTGGTTTTTTATTTTATTTTAAAAAAGATTTAATCTTACAAAATTTTTACTGCGATAAGCTTTCTTTTTTCCTGGTAAATTCGGCATAGGTAATAATAGTCCTTTGGCTTTTTTCTCTTCTATTAATTGATCTTGTAATTGTTTAGCATTAAATAATTCTTTAAGCGAAACATTTTTTTTTTTTGCACAAGCTTTCATATGGCTAGTACACGAAGCATCATCTTGAAAAAACTTTAAACACAGAGGACATAGAATTGGTTTTTTAACTTCATTTTGATTACAAGTCGGTTGTTTGAAAAAAGAAGATTCTATCGCTGGCTGTACTATATCGGTGCTATTTTTTTCCAATTTATTATTTGGTGGATTTTTAGATTTTAAAACTTTTTTCTTAACTCGATTATCAATTTTAAATTTATTTAAAATCGATTTCTGTATCGTTCTTTTTTTAGGTGATTTAAAATCTAGCAGACTATCTTCTGCATTTGATGCACTATACTGAGCTTCCTTGTATAATAATTTATTATCAGAAATTTTTATATTCATATTATCTTCGGAGCAGTTTGGTGTATTTGCATTATCAAAGTTACTGTAAGAATTATAATACAACAGTAAACCCAGCTTGTATATGTATTATTAAATTTTTTAAATTAAAATCATACTCTAATAGACATTAAAGGGAAGTGAAATATACAACTAAATTAGAATTCTTAATATTTTAATTAACAATAAAGATTACAATATATGTCATTAAAAAGTATTTCATACTTATTCGTACCTGCTACACTTTACTTTATTTGGAGATAAATTATATTTTGACTTAATTTTAGTGGTTTTTCGTTTATCGTATTGCATTTTCTTTTAATTTATAGAATTAATTGTTCTCGTATTCTTTACGCCTCCGTGCAAGAGCTAATTTTACAACAGGATTATTCATGAAGGCACGAACATCAATATTTGCCTGAAATTCGTCGGTAGATTCTTTGCATGCAACAATTTTCTTTTGTAACCATGAAGTATATCTAGAATTATAATAATGATAAGTATCTTGTCGAGAAAACATCGGCGTAAAAGAAGATTACATAATAAGTTATTACGATATTAGAGTATATCCAGCAATAATTATACTTCCACAAGCCAAAGACCAATAACAAGAAGCTAAATTGGACGGCGTTCCTCCTAAATATCGTGGCTTTCCTTTTGAGAGATTAGTGGGATCGGGCCACATATCGAAATTTTATGTCATACTATTATTATTAAGCAAATGGACCTGTGAAAAGAAGCAAAAAACATATTTGCAATTTTTCTAACAATCCACATTTTCATCTCCAATACTCACGTGTATATTAAAATTGTACGTATGTATCAATTTGCAGTGCTATTGTACGCAGTCAATATCAATAAAAAAAAATTGTCTAAATTTTTGGTTAGCAAAGGCAAATTTTTAGTGATCGCAGCTAAAGGTTAATCTTCAATAATTCGTAAGTTTATTCTTGTGGTTAGCAAGATTGCGAGGTAAGCAAACGAGTACGCCCATTGGTACTTATAAATACCTGCAATTTCGGTATGGAGTTTTGGAAAAGTTTTATTAACAGTACAAATATATGTAATATGATATATCGATCGCATGGGTGTGTTATGGGGAAATCTATAGGTTATCGTTGATTCATAATAAATGAGTAATAAAGTGCTTTAAAGGTTTTTCAAGAAGAAATTATAAAATCATTTTCAATACGTTAAGAACGGAGAGCGATTAGGGAATTTAGCATAGTTTCTTTCACTCTCCGATCCATATACTTAAGAAACTATAAAAGTTTCACATATTTCTGGATTAAAGTTAAATTTATTGATTAAAATCACCTTTATGCTTATATTTTCATTTAACTATTGAATTACTTAATATTCGTGCTTGCGATTAAATAGTGTTTTTTTTTTATCGTGGTGCTTTACATTTCAAGAAAAACCAATGAAAAAGAGAAGAGTTTTTGGGACGTTGAGACTCAATGGGAGTTGAGCTCGTTTGCGCATGCTCGTGAATTGGTGAATTATCCACTTTTTCTGCTTCGAGTGGCAATAATGTCGTTGGTATTTACAAACACAACGGCCCATAAATATAAAGCTCTGGGCTGAAGTTGTACGTTAAAAATTAACAAAGTATTTGGTACATAGCGCTCGTCAAAGAAAATATTTCTTCTAATCTAAATAAAGTTATGATTTTTAATATTTATTAAATTTTGCACACAGTATACAGCTGCGTATGAAATATTCAAAAAGCAGTTGAGATGTCTTGATTTCCATGTCAATTAAACGGAAATGTTACCACAATATGTCGTAAATTTGACGGACGACAGTTGTATTTCTCATATTAATTTATGGTGCATTTGCAGCTGATGGCTCGATGGCTTGGGTAAAGCAAGAGTTTAAAAAAATATTTTTTCATATCAGCTTCTATTAATTTTTATTACATTATAGCTTTCCACTTCGTATTGCGAGTGATAATATTATAGTATAAACAGATTACGATGATCAAATTAGAATTTACTATAATTAACTTTGTAAATAATATATAAGTGAAGGAATGCGTTTTTTTTTTTTTTTTTTTTTTTAATATTATTTATTCGATCGCGAGTAGGACCGTTTAAAAAGTGGAATTGCTGGGACGAGGTAGCGACAGATTCTGGGAAAATCATTTGTCGATCCAAAGTTATAACGCGTACGGAGTAGTAAGCAAATAGTAGAGAGAAAATGTCTTTATATCGATTGTTCAACATATTATAATTATGCAGCTAAAGTATCGTAAAATATCACCTCGACTTAAATAATATAATGTAATTTTAATGTTTAAATAATATAATTTAATTATAATACATAATACAATATTATATAATATTTCAATAATTGTAGTTTTATTAGGTGATTTATTATTAAGAAATTTATAAATTGATATTTATGAATCATATATAGATATTTGGTTGTATAAGTTTTTACGTAGTTGACAATTCAAATTTCTTTGAAGATTGTTGGTAAATAATCATCGTAAATTATCAGTGTAAAGTGTTAGGGGATGATAATATGAAGGAATAATACATTGAATAATTGAATAAAATGCAATTTATTTCACCTTATCATAGAATTGTGTAAATTGAATGTAAATGCTTTATTTCAGTAAGACGATATTCCATTTTTCGGCACAGAAAGTAATAAAAGAGTTTTATAAAAATACAGTTATTGAAGTTAAAGTAATGAATATTACTTAAATTCTACTTAAATTCTAATCAAAAGATACGATGTTGTTATGACGTCTAAGTTTAAAAATAAATATAAAAAATATTTACTTGTATTAAGAATGTAAAATTGCGTGAAAAGATTTTATCATTAAATTTCATCACTGCATGGATGTGTACATAAAATGTTTGGTCAATCTATGGGTTACATAATTGATTAAAGGATGTCCCTTTAACTATCATTTTATGTATACGTTCATTAATATATCGTAAATTAATTTTTAAATAGCAGATTAAAATACTTGATTATGCAGTATTTTTTTTTTGTTTTTGTTTTTGTCTTTCTTTTTCTTTTTCGTGCTTTATTTGCTCTTTTTTTTAATAAAAACATAATGTAATGGTTATTAAAACGTAAGATTAGTTGCATTAAATTGTGTTGAACATTTTAATCCATTGTTTGTTTATAAAAAGTGGCTGGTATCCTTTTATAAATCACTGACTTCTGGTAAGGATTTTGTATTTATGATATTCCATTCACGTAAGGCAGAGACTACATGATTTAGTTTTGATTGCCACTCTATTAAATCTTGATTGGTATCGCATGATAACAAATTTCTGAAATTAAACGCAAATCTTTAAATATGCCAATATTTAACTTAAATTAGCCAATAATATACCAGTAATTAAAATTACGTAAATAAAATAGCATTCGTAAATTATAAATGAATTATTATTATTATAATAGGGAATACAATTTTTTGTTATGTTTTTTTATTTATTTAGTTTTAATGAAAGTGTGATCGCAATAATCTTTCTCCTATAATAATTCACGAATAAATAATTCTCTTACGTTAATGTCAATTTAGCTTGAATTTAAAAAGACATATCATATAAGTAATTATATCTAATTGTATAAATAAAGATTTATTCATCAAAGGGTAAATGTAAAAAGGCAAACATTAAAAGTCCAATTTACCTGAGGATTGTGCAGGTGGAGTGACACTCGACGAGAATACTGTCTCGATCAATAGCGTTTCGTCTTCTGATCGTCTCGACGAGAAGTGTCCGTGTCCTGGCGCACAAGCTCCGATCGATGAGGCCGATGTGCCTGGACACGCAGTTCACAAGGTCGATCGCGTAGAGCGGCGGCTTGCAGCCCTGTTCGCGCGGGTAATTCCAGAAGAGGAGGTTGTGACCTTCGAGGACGCACCAGCGTCGGTTCCAGGCGGCGAGGCCGCCCGCCTCGTCTCCGTGAGTCAGGAAGCCGGCATGGAGGGTGGATAGTTGTAGCCTGCACGAGAGACTCAGGTCTATCGTCCCTTGAAGCACGGACTTTGTTGGGACCTGGGATGAACGTACGAGGCGTAGATTTTTAAATTTTTTGACACATTCGGTACATGGAAATTGTCCGGCAAATTGTATTATTACGAGCTTCCGTTATTCCGACTAGAAATTAAACAAGTTTTTTTTTTTTTTTTTTTTTTTGTAATAAGCTGGAAATTTAACAATCATTTTTTACATTTGTCATGCGGGAGTCACCTAGTCGGCGCCGGTGTAGCACGAAAACTTATAATTAGGTAAAAGTTTTTTCATTTATGCTTGCACTCTGAAATGAAAAAACAAAGCTGTTGTTGATTACGATATTATTTAATCACAAGTATTTTAAAGCTTTGGCTGAATAGATATTGAAAGTTGTGAAATTTGAAATTAAGTCGAGGAGGGAACCGCTTGATAGAGAAAACACATAAGGAATTCTTCTCACTCTGGTTAGAGGCCATGGCGATGAGAGACTGAGATCTTGAAGAACAAAGTCGATGCTGCCACACATGACGAAGGCTGATTCTTTGACGCCCGAGAACCTGATTTCGTATTGCTTCGGAGATATCGCGGACTTTTTTTTTTCAGCTCTCCAGCTTCTTTTCAGCAGCTTCTTCGATATGGGACAGGATGAGTTTTTAGTCCCGGCGATACTCTGCGTTATGTGGTATTTGTCTTCGTGATTGTAGAGTATCTGCTGGAGTTTGAGGCTGTAGACCCTGAGGGAGAGGCGAAAGTCAGGCTTGAGGCTGGGAATCAAGAGCTGCCCGGGGAAATAAAGACGTGGACTCGAAATAGGACAGGCGACGGCGTGGGTCGCCCAGACAGTCAGGCCCTCGCTTATGACAACGACGAACCATTCGACGATATCGCCGTTCTGACGCTCCCGCCTCAGGACGTCCTCGCGCAGCTGAAGGCTTAGCTCCTTTAGGATAACTTCGGCGCGTTCGCGGCAAGGTTCGATGTCGCACGTTTGACCGATCATCCGACGAATCTCCTCGAGGGCGGCTTTCTTACGCAGACTCGCTAGGACGAGAAGCCGCTCAGACTCTACTCGCTCGGAGCTCGCTATGAATTCTCGCATAGAGTTGCAAAGCTCGAGAGCTTTGCTCGCTTGATAAATTAGTGTCTGCTGAAGTTCGACCTCGTCCAGTAATTTCTTCACATTGTCTCGCAGTTCAGGGTTCACGTTGCTCGGCAGGATTTCCTGATTGCACATTGACTTTGTCTCATCCTTTACGCTTCCTCGGAATTTCTGTAGTTTTTCAAATTTATTGATTTGATTCATGATTTTCTTATATACTTTTTATTATTTGCTTATCGTAATTCTTAATCTATGTTTATTTCGGGTAAAATTGGTCAATACTTATCAATATAATATTGGATTGAGATTACAATGAAATTACAAAATGAGATTACAAAATGTATTATCATCAACTATTTAAGAGTAATTTCAAATGTATTAAATTCGATAATTAAAAAAAAATTAATTCGTTTAAATTGTTTTTTTTTAATTTATATTATTCATTAATATATTGTTCTAGTAAACATTGTTAATTTTAGAGATTATAATTTCATTTTAAATATGTGTGTGTGTGCGCGCGTGCGTGCGTGCGTGCGTGCGTGTGTGTGTGTGTGTATGAGCAATATTGTTATTGTTAAATAGTAGAGCTAAATAGTGGAGCTGAATGGTAAAAAAAAAAAACATTGGCATATTGGAACGAATGAAAATATTTACTTCTTAGCTCAAAGAATTCGACGAATTAGAATGAACGACACTGATAATGAATACTCTGTAAATGGACTACACACAAATACAAATAGTGATTGTAAAAATATTGAATAATTTATTGCAGTATGGGCATCGATAAAATGCATTTATAAAAATTATACGCTTAAACAGTTGGCGCAAAGGATTAAATAAATAATTAAATATGATAAAAGCAAACCTTTTTTATTCTTTGTGTGAGGGTCTTATATATCGAAAGTGTCCTGTTTAAAGTACTTGAGTGCTTTGGTTGATCAGTTGTCGGTATTCTCATCACTTTTTTCCTTTCAGTCATATTTTGCATTATTTCTTCAGATATAAGTTCACTGGCATTTATTTCCCTCGTGTCGGAATTAGCGTATGTAATTGTTGAATTGTAACGCTCGTCTCCAAGTGCTAACTCTAAGAAATTCTCTACCTTCGTTGTTGAATGTAAAAACATGTACATTAAAATTGAATTATAAATTATAATCCGAGGATCGAGAATTTCAATTATTTCATACGAATTTTTAGATTTTCTTTTTCTAAATAGAGACAATTGGCTCACATTAATTTTAATAATCGCTTATTTTTCAAAGAGTTTCTTTTATCCCACTAAATTTTTACTTAAACATAGTGATTTATAAATTAGACTCTTAATTTTTTAGATCTTAAGCCAATTGACATTCAATATGAAATTAGGAAATCAATGTTATAAGAACAAAGGAACTTTGAAATGTAAAGCAATTTATAAGCAACTTTCAGAATTTATTATTAATTTTTTAATATGATAATCCGGCACAGAATATGACTCGCGCGGCTAATTGGATTTACTTTTAAAAGTAATTATAAAATTGATAATTGTATTTTAATGTAATTAAGATATGTAAATACTTCGTAGGGTAGAGTCGCGTTCATGCTTTTTTGCATTTGCGTATGTAATTGTTGTTGTTGCCGTTGGTGCTGTTGTTCTTGCTGAGGATTTTCTAACGACTCGTAACCATCTGGACTCGAGGGCGTATTCGGTAGTGTTAGAGTCGATATAGAGCTTTCTTCTTGGGACCTCGGCGATGCTATTTTCCCTTCGCCGTTGTAAATCTTTCGCGTTGATTCGAGATTCGGTTTGCGACGCATAACTTTTGGTACGTGCAGATTATTTAAGATGAAACTCGCGTTTCGCTTAAGAAATGATATACCCAGTGTTCCGGACTGGCTGGATTCATGGCGATTATAATTCTTCAAATTTTTTAACTGAGAGTCTGGCATTGTCATTGGCGTAGCGAAGCTCTCTTTTTCGGCAATCGACGGCTTCTCGAAGTCATAGAAAGTTTCCGTCAAGTTAGAATTGAAGTCAGTACCTATTTATTATGATACTTATGTTTAATAACGTTGAGATTAAAGTGCTTATATTCTCTTTACTCTTATGCCTCTATATTAATGTTATATTATAATTATGATATAAAAATAATTGAATTATCAGATTAGTACTTATATCTCACGCGGTTATATTTTGATAATTTCATTTTTTAAGCAAATTTCCTATTAATATTTTGACCAATAGTCAATCTTCTTATTTATTGATCTAATGGTAATGTAAGCGCGTCGATTGTGTAAAATTTGGCGCAGTTACTTTAAATCGATAATGGAAACATGTTTATGAATAGTTCTTGCATCAATACTAGACATTCATGATTAAGTTAATTGATAATTAAGCACTATGGCTATGATAAACATGTGAAAAGAAAAACAAAAGAAAAAAAAATTAAGCTAAATATTTCGACTTATTAAATAATTATCACGGGTAATTACCAGGCATATTGTCGTTCTTCTCACCATCGTTCACGTAATAAAGATTATCGGATGAAAAATTGTTGGACATTCTTTTGACGAGTGATAAATTCGGGTACATCCTCTTTGGAGTTTCCACTATGATTTGCTGTGACTGCTGTGACTGTTGCGAAACATCATTCGATTGAAAATCTAGTTTTTCCATCTCCCGATCGAGTTCCTTCATGTCTTCTGACATTAAAGAAGTCGTCAGAGATTCGTCTGGATTTTCGAGCTGAAGGCCTTTGAAGGTTTCTTGAATAAACGTCATATCGGATGCTCGACGCCGATTTGAAACTCTGGGCTCCGCGCTCACGCGCTCTACTTTCACCACTTCCGGCTCAAGGATTTCCAGAACTCGAGCACCGAAGAATAGATCCGGACCTCTGTGCTGCAACTGTCCATTCATCTCCTCAAATTCATCCTCGTACTTTTCGCTGACGATATGTTGAGTGCAAGCATTCAACTCTGAAAAATAACGATGACGTATTAGTAAATATAGAGTACCGACGTGAGTACTCGTTAACATTAAATGTGTTTAAACGAGTATTGACGTCGATTTAACATTTGCTCTTTTAACACCGGCTCACTTATATTTTAAGTTTTATAAACAAATATTTAAAGTAGTTAAAATCTATTTAGCCGTCGTACAACACGAATCTAGTAAAATTATATACATGTAAGTTGAAATTGTTAATTGTGCAATTATTAATTGTGCAATACAATTTCTTTTAATAATGAGTCATTGTTGCTTTATTTCTTTTTCTGATCGAGTGTTAAATACTGAATTGTCCGCGATAGCGCAATTATATAATCACGATGATGCACAAAATTAAAACAATGTGAAACAATTGGTAAAAATCTAAAGTATAAAATAACGCATGAGAAAAAAGTAGTTGAAGGGAAAAGGGTGGCAAGAATTTTAATATAGAATTTAACGATGAAAGTTTCGTTTGTAAAAGTTATAAATACGAAGAAATATTGTAATTCAAAGGAAATGAAAGAAGTTAAAATTAAAATATTAATAAATTATGATTCAACGAAAGCTTCTGCAAATGTCCTTGAACTTTTCGAAGTCTAATAAATACAATAGCACAGTTTACATCCAAAACACCTAACTCCAACAGAGTAATATTAATCATAGTTTGCTTCATATTAACTTCATCATATGTGTATATATATATATATATATATATATTCATTAATAAAAAATATTAACATTGCACAAAGAAAGTAGAAGAGTAGAATTATATTACTTATGATTAATTTAATAAGAAAGTCTTAAGATAAGTCTTAAGATGCGAATCAATTGTAGACGCATAGAGTCATTCGACTATAAATATTGCGCAACTGTTGTTCCGGACGGGGTTTGTATAGATTTTATAGATCAGGACGTCGTTTTCCCACCTCCATGAGAAGCAGCTCCAAAGTACTCTCCGATCGAGAGTCTTGTCCCACATATCGGCTCCTGGAGCGGCTCGTCATCAGGATTTCCGCAGGAGTCGCACTCGCCGAGCAGACCTCGAGTGATTTGGCTGGGAGGATGTCGATAGTCGAGTATATGCTCCGAGTTCGTGTCTGTCGGGGACTTGTCGCAGGTGGAGCTGTCACCAGTAGAGCAAAGCTCGCGATCCGATGGTAGGGAGTCGATGCGGTAAGTCCGGGAGGACAAGTCGTTACTGAATCCGTGCCTCGAGTTTTCGGGCCGTCTCGTTGGTTCCAAGTTGCCTTCCTCAGCCTCCTTGTACATGGTGATGCTCTCGCTCGTGTTTGCGAACTCCTTCTCGAACGGATTACCCTCGTAATGAAAGTCCGAAGGCGCTACGTATGGCAAAGCCTTGTTACACATGCTCACTCATCAACCTTTCGTTCTATTGACTCGCTCACTTATATTTTTATTTACTTTGCGGCACTTTCCCAGCCCATTTAAACAGCCAATAAAATTGTTTTTCTCTATTTTCATTACCGGGCGCGAGAAATTAAGGCTTCTATTGAATTTGTTGGATGCCGTGCCGCGCATTTACAATTTATTCTTGCTTTTAACCATAGCACACCGCCCACGTTCAAATTATTTTGTCATTTTTGCAATTTTTCAACTCTTTATGTATGTCAATTAGTAGAAATGGCACAGTCGATAATTATTATAACGAGCCAACGTTGGATATGATAAATATAATGGCAGTTACGTTGCAATGCGTACTTAATCATTACTTTTCAAATTACGCGAATGGGCTTTATTATTTATGGCTGCCGATCGTCGCTCTTCACTTTCTCGCGTTTTCAAAGCTCAATTCGATAGGACATTAACGTTTCATATTTTCAATTAATAAATTGTATTCTGTAAGCATAAAATATATTTTGTCACGAGAGGCTAAAATTAATATAATTGTTATTGGAAATGCAATTACTTTGCAAATGCAAATACTAGTTGTAAGGAGGAATTTGATGATGATTGGAAAAATGTTACTTACGCGTTATGTTACTTTTATTTATCGCTCTCATGATACTCAATCGTCTTCGTAAACTTTTCGAATAATACTGAGATGATTGGCCGTGTTCCTTTTTTCGGTCCAACATACGCTGCATAATGAAATTGTATTGAATTTTTATGGGAAATCTTGTAAACAATGATTTCTGGCTAATTTATGAATATACCTTTGCATATTGATCGCCTTTATCTGTTACGTCTTCCCTTCTATCCATTCTAGTTTCAATGCACGTCGCTTTTGTCAAATTAAAATATTTACCTGAAAATAAAATTTTCATACATACACTAATACATCTTTCATAACTGTTTGAACTTCATTATAATTATACACTTTCTTCTAATCGGCTTAACATATGCTAAATCTAATTAAAATATAATGGAGTAATTTACTTTAGGATTGAATTTATAAGTAACGAATTTTATAATTAATTAATCGTGCATAAATCGATGTTTCTGAATTGTAAAATTTTTTTTTTTATCTTTATTTAAAAAATTCTAATATATTTAAAAATATTTTCATTTTTCAATTTTGTCTACTTAATGCCTTGATAAATTCACTGATGTTTTTGTTTACGTTACTTTACGTGCATATTCCCCCACATAGTAAACACTCCTGTAGTTATTATAGAATATAAAAACAGGAAAATTTAATATTTGCACTAATATTCATTTATTAGTTCATGGAACATTGAAATTACTAGTAATAATAATTTAAGCTATTGAATTTTTAATTAATATGCTGCTTAAATTTGTTATACAAATTCGTTTGTTTAATTTACAAAAAAAAAACACAAAAAATGATGATCGATCTCAACTCTTAAGCACTCGAACACAATCTAAAAGCAGAGATAATATATATGATATGACTCTAGATGAAATTAAAGAAAACAAATTTATTGGTCATTGTAAATTCTATTTATTTGTGAAGGTTTATGAGAATTTGTTAATTTTCCGAGAACTCGGTGTCAGGTAAGTTCTTGAACGGTAGTATTGTTTTGATCAATTGTTAGCTTATTTTAGCAAATGAATTAAAACGAATTAAACTTTGAAACAGATAATTATATGTTTTATCGTCAATAAACGTATTATTATATTTAATATTTACATTATATTATCATTATATATATATATATATATATATATATATGTGCATATATATCACTAATATCAATTGACATTTTTTAAATTATAGACAGATGATATAAACATGAAATTAAATGAGAATAATACAAAAATTTTAAACTACTATAGATTAAAGGAAATACTAGGTCATGCTTTAACGCGTAATTAATCGTTTGAATATTCTTTATTTTGACTCTTGGATTATATAAGCAAAGCAGAAAATATATAATGGCATAAAAACATTAATAATAAAAATATTAATAGTATTAATGCTTCGCAGTTAAGATAAGATTAATAATGCAGGGAATGTCAAATTTTATCATATATTATGATGTCCAATATGTAACGATTTAAAAAGCTTTAATTACATTTGCACACAGGACATTTTATATATGGAGTAGGTTAATTTGGCGCGCACCGGTGCGCATTTTATATGGCATTTTCTCGCGTAATCGTCGATTATAACCTAAAAAGTGAAAATTAAAAAAAAAATATTGAATCTGTTTATCATTTATATTCTTTATGATAGCGATTTGAAAGAAAGAAAAGAGTTAGCGACGATGTTTGAAGCTCATAGTATTAATGCAGAACACAAAGATTTGATACACGATATAGCTTATGATTTTTATGGGCAGCGCATGGCCACATGCTCCAGCGATCAATTTGTAAAGGTAAAACATTAAGCATGCGAACTGTATTTGAATGTTAATTGTTAGAAAACAAAATTTATAACGCTATAACGCAGGTTTGGGACGAAGACGAACATGAAAATTGGCATTTAACTGCATCATGGAAAGCGCACAGTGGATCTGTGTGGAAAGTTACTTGGGCACATCCGGAGTTTGGACAAGTTTTGGCTACTTGTTCGTTTGATCGGACAGCCGCAGTCTGGGAAGAAATTAGTAATCCTTCATTATAATTGTTCAGCTAGATGAATTTATTATAGGCGTTTTTAGTAAAGTGATAATAATGCTTGTGTAGTTGGAGAAGGATCGGGACCGGGTGAAAGAGGAATGAGGCATTGGATACGCAGGACAAATTTGGTTGATTCAAGAACATCGGTTACGGATGTGAAATTTGCCCCAAAGACGCTGGGCCTATTATTAGCAACGTGTAGTTCAGACGGGGTAATTAGGATATACGAGGCACCGGATGTCATGAATTTAAGTCAATGGACATTGCAACATGACATTAGTTGTAAACTTGCATGCAGCTGTTTAGCCTGGAATCCATCACTTTCAAGGTTTTCTTCAAAATCTTTATTTTCCATCTTTACTTCGAAGCTAAATCGAGTAAAATTTTATTTAATAATGTTTATTATATTATTAATTAGACTTCATCCACCGATGATAGCCGTTGGAAGCGACGATAGCAATTCATCGAGCGGAGGCAAAGTATTTATATACGAATATGCTGAGAATAGCAGGCGTTGGGCAAAAACAGAAACCATATCCAGTGTCACAGACGCCGTACACGATATATCGTTTGCACCAAATTTAGGACGAAGCTATCATACTTTAGCAATTGCAACGAAAGATGTACGAATATTATCATTGAAGCCACTGATGTAAGTTGTTGTATAAGTTTAATAATTTTTTTTGTTGCGCACGTGGTGTACGAAAATAATGATAGGTCAGCATTGAATCGATATAACGGTTAAATAATACGAAACCATAAAATTTAATCCTGCAAATAGATTAATCCATTGATTCGTGATTTGAATGTGTTTAGAGAATCTGCTCAAACTGGATTGTCAAGGTTTGAGATAACAACGATAGCGCAGTTCGATGATCACTATTGTACGGTATGGAGAGTTTGTTGGAATATAATGGGAACGATACTGGCCAGTTCTGGGGATGACGGCTGTGTGAGATTGTGGAAAGATAATTATATCAACAATTGGAAATGCGTTGCTGTATTAAAAGGCGATGGAACCTCTGCTCAAAGTGCAGAAAATGCTGTATCTACACCTCCAAATTCAAGTCATAATTTAGGCGCTCAGCAGCCTCTTTCAACGACAAGGTACTACAAACTGGGTTCCATCAGCCATCCAAATCAAGTGCCTTGGCACTGATAATAATAATAATAATAATAATAATAATAATAATAATAATAATAATAATAATAATAATAATAATAATAATAATAATAGTAATAATAGTAATAACAACAATAATAATAATAATAATAATAACAACAATAGTAATAATAATAGTAATAATAAAAAAAAAAAAAATAATAATAATAATAGTTCCTTTTCTCAGAGCATTTAATAGTAAAATTTCGATAACTTAAGCATCATGAAACTTGTCTGTAAAATCTTGCAAAGCTCATGGATTATAAATGCATTTTTATATAAAATACTTTGATACAAGTAAATTTGCTGAAAGTTGCATTTAACCGCACTACTTTCGTTCTCTTTCCATTCAAATAATTTAATTATTGTGGAATTTTAAATATAATATTTTTCATTAGCGATGGTAGTCACTTTATTGTACTATTAAGAAATGAATTTTTTTTCTGAAAGTCTATTTAATGGAAGAATTATGTATGTGCCCAGAATATGAAATATATGAGTGTTCTAATGAAATTTTTAAATTTGTAATTTATTTTTGTGAAGAAATAAACGTTATTGTAATACATCCAGTCCTTTTTTTATCATTGGTTATAATTTTTCTTTTAAAAGCAATATACTCTTGATATATTTACGACGACAACTTTCTCGTTTACTTTCAGATCCGTCGATACAGCGTCTGTAAATATGGCAACGGATAAAGTTTATAATGCAGTGATGTCTTCGAGCAAATGGCAGGCCCCAGTAATTAAAGGTCGATTTAGTAAATCAGTGTGGATAGGGAATCCTAACGAAGCAGCAGCAGCACTTTCTACACCAGTTTTAGTCAGGCCGAGATGTAAAAAATAAGTTAAATTCATTTGCAATTTAATGTTGAGAAAAGCGATAATATTTAACTTTGGCGTATCTACGTGTAATGCTCCAACAATTACTAATTACTTTTAAGATATTTGTTATTTATTTAACGATTTTTTATTATACCAAAACAAAGATACTAGTAGTTGTTTTTTGCTTATATAATTCAGTTTTTATATATATATATATAGAAATTTTTTTTCTTTTTTTTTTCCCAACACTATAATCAAATATTTAGAATTTGTAGGGCAGAATCTCGAAAGTTTGTGCAATTTTAGTTGCAATTATTTTATTGTAGAAGTTCCTATGCGTAGGTGGTGAATGTAAAAAGTCTTAAAAATATTATTGTGATAAGCTTTTTTATGCATTAACAATGTAGAAATGAAGCGAATGACTGAAAAATTATAATAAGTACTTATTTTTTATCGATATAATTCATTAGATAGTTTTAGATTATTAATTTTTGCGAATAGGCTTTTATATTATTAAATTAGATTAGTTTAAAAGATTGAGTAACAATTAATTAATGAAATATCATTTAAAGGTAATTATTCCTTTTCTTTTTTTTTTGTTGTACTTAGGAAAATATCATTAACAATTAAATGCATTTATTGTGATATAGACTGTAACTCAAACGAATTAATAACTATGAACGTAAAGTGAAGGTTTATTTTGAATTTGTATATATATGTATATATATGTATATATGTGTATGTATATATATATATATATATATATATATATATATATATATATATATATATATATATATATATATTAAATTTTTTTTTTTTTTTTACAAACTAACGTTTAAGAGAATATAACAATATTTAATTTATTTGTACTTTATTACATAGATGTATAATAAAAATTTTTTCACATAACTGATTTCCTTTTTTAAAATGACTAAATTCATAATCAAATAACATAAAGCTTTCTTATGTTTCATAGTTGGCACCTTGGCTAATGCAATTCAGGGAGGTATTTGTGTTACTAAAAATTCGTATATCAATTTTTTCATTAATTAGTTAATTCACGTATTTAATTAAATATTAAGATATTTCCACCCCACGTCTTTATTTTTACACAGTCCAATTGAATTTGTCAATTGTATAAGTGGTGTAAGATATTATGGAGGAACCGAAGAGAAAAAGTTTTTTAGACAATTTGAAAGAACAGCTTAGTTTAATCAATCGCGTAAATTAATTTTGTTTATTAGGAATATCGCAATAACAATGAAATAAATAATGATGAATATTTTATTACAGTCCACACTTACGACTCGCTTTTTATACATTGGTGAATATAAAGGATCTAAAAATAATTTGCGGAAAGTAAGTTCACTCGAATAATTATATATTTGCATTGCTTAAGATTTTATTAACTCTTGAAAATATAATCTTTTGAACTAATAGAAAATGAACTTGAATGTAACAGAATTAAATGAAGAATACGGCGAAATTGTTCTTACAGGATTTCTCCTTGTGTATCCTAAATATTTTCTGCATTTGATAGAGGTTCGATTTTACACATTTGTAGCTAAAATAAATAAAATTTAAATTAAAAATCAAGTAAATAATAAATTCATATATATATATGAATATATATATATATATATATATATATATAAATTTAAATTAAAAATCAAGTAAATAATAAATTCATATATATATATATATATATAATATTTTAAAAGCCGATGTTTTATTATAATATAACAGATTATAATTACAAACAGGCATCGGAAGAAATAATTTATAGGCATTTGCAAGCGATATTTGCAGCCGATTTTCAAGAAATTCTAGGACACGTTATATCTCTGCCAACATCTTACAACATATACAAAGTACTGTATATTTTATTTAGTTTTATATCCAACTTATACATAATAATTATTTGTCGTTTATTTATATATTTTTATATATTAAATTCATATATTTTTTCATAGTTATACTTCTCCGATTGGCATTACGCATTTGCAGCAAATCCACCCGTATTATTATCTAAAATTGAACAAATCGAATTGCATGAAATACACAAACAAATTAAAAATTGCTTATTTAAAATGTATTCTTTGAGTGAATATCTAATGGACGTTGGAAATAAATCCGTAATGCTTTTCAATTTAACACGTTTGAGTAATCTTACATGAAATTACATAAAATTTGTATTATAGCGTAATAGCTTTGTCGAAATAATAAAAAATTTGGAGACAAATGCATCGGATTATTTACCGGAAGTCACAATAATCGAATATTTATTATCTATAGAAACGTCGGTGCTCAAAGACTTACGGGATTATTTGAAGGCATTTAATGACTTTCCAACCATCAATTTTTATAATGGTAATTATATTTACGTTTATAGCCCAGAGTATTGAAAGAGCACAAATTAAAGCCAATAAAGGTAAATGAAACACAATATTGTCGAATAAAAACGATCATTTATTTCAGAATATTTACAATATATCAAAACAACAGTTTTGTCGTACGTATGAACGTGATGCGCGAGGGATTGAGTGGGTTTGGGACAAAAGGGTTGTGATAGGTTGGAAAGGTTTTGGGTCTTGGTACATGAAAATTCGATGATAAAGTTTGAAAAATGTCAATGAGTAAAGTGAAGTAAATATGAAATTTTATAGATGATAAGCTGTGTACATAATCGTGTGAGAATTTTTGCCTGAAAGATTGTTATAAATTCTGATTGTAACTTCGGTGGTAATAATTACTTCATCATTTTTACATCATTCTTCTCCATTCTTTATTTATTATAATACTTTGGCGTGTGAGTTATTATTGTTTTTATTTAAATACCCGACAACAATGAAAAGTTTACTCTACTAGATAATACGTATGATGTATAGTATTGAATTTTTGAAAAGAATCTGGAAACATTAGAAAAGAAATATTTTTCGAATATGTCTGTGAATATATATATATATATATATATTTATATAGGCAAGAAAAGGATAATTATAATGTAAATTAAAATATTATTGAAATTTGATTGTGCATTTTTCGTCAATTAAATAATCACATTAATTCATTATATAATCGTTCGAGTGGTCAAATCGTACACTAATGCAAATTCGTTTTCTTAACTATTGTCGTATTAAATTCATTTAAAAGGTAAAAAGATACTTTTATTATCCTAACGAGCATTGTTCAATTATCGTTCGATGCATGATTAAATTTTCATCGTGTGCATGAAAATTGTGCATTCGCTTTGCCTATAAATAAACTACGTGTTAAAGAACTATTTATGTTTTACAATGCATCCATTGAATTAAATGATTTTCATTGTTTACAGACTGCATTTGGCCCCCACCCAGTAGTTTTGCACCCCGTGTTATTAATTACTTTGATGAGACGCAAAAACAAGTAGATCAGTTATAATGGCTGACTTTAAATATTGGTCGGTTGAAGATTAGTTAAGTATGATTTTCAATAATACTTTTTTTTTTTTTTATATTAAATTTCGTTTCAGTTCGTAGGCTCAACTAATTCATTTTCTTTTATTTTTTACTTTATTTTCCACTTAATAATACGTATAAAAATGTTTATAAATGCATTATCAAAATAAAAAGATATATAATGAAAAAGAAAAAAAATAATAATAAATAAATAAATAAAAATGAAAATGATGAAAAAAAACAACAATGAAATTGATTGAAAGTTTAATATTCGTATTAAAACGCCTTCATGAATATTAATTTACAAGATAATCAAGAAAAATTGTTTAGGAATTGGTTAAAAAAAAACGTTTAAAAATTGGAGCGAAGATTTTACAAGCAAGAAAAATGTTATATTATGAATTTTTATGATATTTAAATACTCACTAATTTTTAAGCATTCTTCCTTCAATATTCTTAAATTCCCTTTATGATTACTGGATTCTGCGCAAAATATCATTTGTAAACGGTTCACAACTGATAATTGAAATAATTTGAAAATTAATTGGCTACAGTCGCTGAAAAATGGATAGATTGATCTTAAGGAGGACTGATTTGTACACAGCTCCATTGAAATTCTAATTGAATTTTGAATCGGCAGTAACTATAATTACTTGTAATATATACATACTAATATCTACATGTGTAATTAACATTCAAGCTTGCGAATTAAATGAAAAATCAGATAAGGCGCATTAATGATAAATATTAAACAAATACACGCACACTTGCATACATCGAACTAGAATGTTTTATTCTCCAGAGGTATCTGAAAATTTAATCGTAAAATCTGATTGGTAGTTTCTTGTATTTTGCGTACTGATTATCTTCTTACATACAAACAGTTGCAAGTTTTGTATTAAATTTCGTATTAATAAATAGATAATATTTATCGTCAGTAACTTTTTTCATTTTCATTTCAACAATATTCGTCATCTTCATCAATTTTACTAATTTTCAATACTCTCATTTTTTCTGAGATTAGCCAACGGTTAATACACTTTGCATTAACTTATAAGTTTTAAATTCTCTTTGTAAATTTCCTAACATTACAGTTGCTTATTCGTATCAATTCCATCAATGGCAATAAATAATAACAATTATTGTTTTAAATGTTTTACCTATAATAACGCAGTCACGCATAAACACATCTTTGAATTCGACACTTGTTTATTTAATCTATATATTCTTATCATAAATAATTTTATTCAACATACCAATGCAATTATATAATTCATTATTGTTATAGTTTAAAAAAATTTTGTTTGCCTTACTTAATCATAATTCATTTTATGTTATTTAAATAAATGAGGAAATGTGACAAAAATAACGGCAGTGTCCGCTTCAAAGCAACCAACAATTTTTCGCAAATCTAATTTTTTTCTCACTGCACAATTTAATTAAAGGCAAATTTATTTATTAAATATGAATTCAAGTGTCCATATGGTATGTATATTTTAAGAATTATTTTGTTTTAATTTAGTTTTTCTAAATTCTTATACGATGAAACAATTGTTAAAATTGTACGATCGATCCTTTTAAAATAATTTATATTCACACATTTTGTTACAGTATTTTTATTTTTTTTCTTGCATAGTATTAACAGATACCTTCAGAATACTTATAAATATGACTATGATTTTTTTTCTTCATTAGGTTTATCGGCGATGTTTTTTATCCGTAGAATTCACCTCATGAGAATTTCTATTTTATTTATAAATTCAATTGTATCGTTGTAGCCAACGATATATCTATTTATCCATCTGTATATATATATATATATATATATATATATATATATAGATAGATAGATACATAGATGGATAGATGGATAGATGAATAGATATATAACAGATAATGCAAAAAACGAGTAAAGAAATAAGTGAATTCGATGCTGACAGTAATTTAATTTATGTATTGTATGAACTATCGTTTCTTTCATCGCATTCATACTCATACAAGCATATGCCCATGCACACATACGTTATACAAGCAGCTGCGCGGATATGACGATGTTTTTTCCTTTCGGCTTTATTTGTTTTTCGCGATTTTCTCTTACATTTTGTTTATTATTTCATTTCGGATTCATTTTTTGTCGATTCTAGCACTAATTAAGTTGTGTGTATTCAATATAGAATTTAGACGAAATGACAATTTTTTCTTTAGCCTTATGCTATAATAAATAGCATCGATTGAAATAATATATTTATATAAATAGTGGTATATTATACAACAAGTTGAAAATTTTAATCGGCGGGTTTAGTTGAGATTTTAAAATCCAAAACAATGCTTATTTATATAGCTATTTGGTACAGTTAGTTGAAGAAAATTTATACTTTATACAGTATTATGATGTAGTTATCTTGATTTTGCTGATAGATCGTGACCAGGACGATGCGGATGGACGCAAATGATTTTGTATCATTGTTATCTGGTTGCTACATTACTATAATATTTTATTGAAGTATATTACACGTATGTATGTATTATTTGTAGGAACCTTCAATTTTCCCGATGGAAACTTCGCGATATGTCTTCCCACAACGACTACTAGTACTACTTCTTCGATTTTGGACATTTATGAGTTGTTAATGGCCAAACTTTTGAAGCTTTCACGCGAATGAGAAAGCATTCTCGAAACAATGTAACAAATAAATGATCATATTTATGTTTCAGAAACTAATGCAAATAATAAAAGATTTTTCTAGCGAAAATACTACGTTATGAAATTTATGGATAAATTGGCATAAATGTGTGCATGAAATGTTTCGCACAAGGGAATACCAATTTTTTTTTTTTATGAAGTAACTTTTATTTAATTGAATTTACTTGATATCGCGAAATGGAGTCTGTTTAGAATTTTTTTAATTTAGATATATATTCGTCGACCATTAGAAATTCGTAAGTGAAGAAATTGAAAATAATGAAAATTTTGTTTCAGAATTTACCGATATTAATTGGAAAAAAAAAACAAAAAAAAACAAAACGAAATTGTCGTAACAATCCTTCAGAAAATTTTTCCATTTTACTTTTCTTTTACCTTTTCCTATTTTCCTCCTTCTCCCCCTCCCTCCACCCCAAATTTTTTTTGTCTCCTTCTCTCTAATACACGCTCATTTCCTCACTTCACTTGAATAACACGACTCTCCGAAGTCATGATTTATCGTTTTTTCGTTTCTCCACTCATGAACTTTATTCGGTCCTTCTCTTGAATTTTAGTCGTTTCTCTCTGCTCATTCATTTTCCTATTTTCCATCTAATGTTCCTAACTATATACAAGCTTTATTACGCCATATGATGTATCCGCCACGTCCTGAATCAAGATCCTCTGGCTTACGAGATATTTATACATGTACATTTACATTTATATTTTTGAGTCAACCATGTAAATTTACAGTCTGTCGAAGGAAGTGTTCTTTATTTTACTGTTATTTTCAAATTCAGTTATTTAATAATTCTTTCTAGCAATCGTATAAAATATTTTCAAATTTAAGTTAAGTATTTACAAGTGCGACTAAGCGCGTGCCTCAGAATATCGATATATTTTATTTGTATCCATCTCCTCTGCCTTTATCTCTTTCTCAAACGCATTTATATTTTTTATTTTATATTTTTCTCTCCGAGTTGAGATCGAGGCTGGTCATTGCGACGAAACATAGCTTTATTTTTCATTTATGATATATTTCTGTAAAATTGGATGTAAGAGTTTTGCTGAATGAAGAGAAAATTTGCATAAGCGGCATAATATTTTCCATGCTTTTCTTTTGCTTATGTATAATGTATGATTTTCCACGAAGATAAAGTATAGGATCATCGTAATGCGACCCTAGTTCAAAGTATTTATTTAGTTGAAATTAATAGTTCTCCCGAAATCATAATAAAGAGTGTTCCTTTCTCAAGAATTTTAAGAACATTTAATTTAATTTTTGTATTAAAAACAAGATAAATTGCTTCCCGTTCCATTTATTTTAATGAATAGATCGTTATGAAAGTAATGGAAACAAAGTTCAAAAGAATTCGTCCATTGAAAGTAAAAATGATATGTATTTTGAAATAATGGAATGTCCAGTTATGATCATATCATTTTAGCGTCAATGAAAAAAGGAGCATTCATTTTTTTTCTTCACAATTTCAAGTGTATGTATGTATGTGTGTACACGGGCGTGTATTTGTTTGTGTTTGTTTGTTTGCGTATAGGATATTGTTTGCTATTTTATTGCACTCTTGCTAAATTACTTTAATGTACGAAAAATACTTTATTCAACAATGGCTCGTTTAGGCGCGTACGTGTGCGTACGTGAGAGCGCGCTACATGTGATACATCGACGTTATGAGAAAGTAAAAAAATGTTTAGGCATTGATTCTAAACGAAGGTCGTCGAATGAAATCGTCCGTGAAACGACGTAACTTTTATGAGGTACTTTTTAATAAAATGTCTTTTGAAAATCTATTATGTCATTTGTCGCCGATGTAACTTCACGAAACACGTACAGATATCGAATTTTTTCTTTTGAAACAAGAATAACACTATCTTGAAAAATTAGTACTTATTTTTGAGAAAAAAGATCAAAAACCAAAGCAAAAAAAAAAGAAAAACAAAAGGATCAGTAATTCATTAGAACTACGAATAAGCTGGTTTTGGTTTTTCAATTTAAAAGAGTAACCGCATTGAAATGAAAGAAAGTTATCGGAAAATATGTAATGAAAAAGTTATGTACTTTTTTAATACCAAGGTGCGAAGTTTGAAAATGTAGATATTTCGATGAAAGGAAATTTCAACGTGTATCTTATGATATAAAGAGCATTATTACACGCTGGGAGCAGCTTTATAATGAAGCTTATGGTTTTTGCAAAATTTTCCCGTCTTTATTGCTCGCACGGCCCGTAAAAATAATGTAACTCGGCCGTGACATGAATTTTCATCCTAATTTATTAAGCTGTGGCTCGAGTCAAAGACCGAAGTCAAAATATTTATTAATGATAGAGAGAGAGAGAGAGAGAGAGAGAGAGAGAGAGAAAGCAGAGTTTAGGAGGATCGTATTATTATTTCTATCCCCGTCCTTACTTAATGATTCCAGCGTCTGGCAGTTCAGATTTTTTTTAGGGCAGGGCTTGCGGGTTGAAATTAAAAAAAAAAAAATTGAAAGAGCGGCAGAGGGGAGCGGGATCCGAGGTGAATCGAGGCAGTAAAATCTGACATTCCCGTACTCATCCAGCGGCAACCTGAGTTCAGCTGCGTCACACGGAGCTTTCGCGTTTTGTCACCTGTAGGCCCGTCCCTTTACCAAGGGTCTGCGACTGCGCAGACGCGACTGCGTGCATCTCCTTAGGGGTCGCCTGAACGCAGCACTGACCCGGCTGAAGCAATCTTGCCTCCATGTCCTTCGCGAGGATGACTCCGGGAGCTCGGACGAGACTCACAGCTCCGCCCCCGGCATGCGCGGCGTACATTACTGCTCCCGGGGTGATGCCTCTCGTACCTGCCTGACTGACCGAGCGGGCTCCCACGAGGCTCCCATGGCCCGTGTGACTGGCCCAGTGCTGACGCGGCAGGGTGCACATGCCGCTCTCGTACACCTCGCTGGCCATCGGCTGGAACTACAACATGTCGGCCGGGGCCTTCATTTATTTAAAGGCACTCGCCTCCCTCTAGAGCTTTTCCGAGGACACGGGCGAGCATCGGCTCGACGCTGACCTCCGGCTGACCTCCCGGCTTTGAACTGGCGCGGGCGGGGAAGTGCGGATGGGGAAGTAGGAGCGAAAGGGGGTGGGATGGTGCGCTCCGGGGCAGCCACGTGACCAGCGCCTCTCCGTTTTCGCTTCTCGATTATTTAAGCTTTGCTATTACCAGTATTAGGCTCTGGCATGCGAGCAGCGGCATTTTTAATCATGCATGACTCGATCGCGTATTATTCCGACACAGCAAGGAGGCAATTTAATAGGCGATACGCTAACTTTGCTTACGAGATCGCTTTCCTCTACGCTATACCTGAAACTCCCATAATAATGCTGTTGCTAATGCGAACGACAATAATCACTAATGATGATTTTTACTTGCCGTAATAATAGTAAGCGAAACGCCGATCGTTCTATAGCGATGCTTAATCGTAATAAACGATCGTTGAATATCCGCTTTCGATTCTTCGATTAATCTCATTACTTTGCACTAAATTGTACATTTAGTATTATAAATATTCTTTGAATTATAAGCGTCGGCTTCTATATTATTTTGTTCAAATTTATTCCTATTTTAAACCGAACACTTTACATTTATGAATATTTATTATCAACAAATTTGAGGTAAAATGGAAATATTGATTTTCTGTATTCCGATAGTATTGAGATTCCAAATATCCCCATGTGAAAATCAAAGTCAAAGTCTATTTTCTTTTTAATACTACGTTTGAATAAATTACAAATTATTAAAGCTTCAAATTTTTTATTCTTAGCGAATGCTGTATAAAGCACCTTCCACGCGCAATCGATTGGACTTTTATATTTTTATGGATACAAAAAACTCCTTCGAAATATCTTTTTCATTTTGCTTTTCTCCTATTTCTCTCGATCTCTCTCTCTCTCTCTCTCTCTCTCTCTCTCTCTCTCTCTCTCTCTCTCAATTTTTTTTTTAAATTATGGTAATTATATTCCTTGCACATAAATGTCAAGTAACCTTACTGCTTAAAATTTTTACCTATTTATTAGTTTTTTTGTTTTTGTTTTTGCTTTTTCTTTTGTTTTTAGTTTTGTTTAAGCGACACATTACAGCAACTACTAGTTGATGTTTATAGCTCGTAAAAACAGAGTAGGTCACTTTCGGCTATAAACCTCTATATTATTATAAATATAACGAATTCCCATACTAATCCTGTATACTATTTTCAAGAATTTCTCATAAACCCTACTTGATTAAAAGTTGCCAAAGCAAAATTTAAGGTTGCATACATTACTGAAATTTTACTCCTACAGTAACTTATTTCTTGCCATTATTATATTTTAAAAAATTATATAGCTCATAAAGAATTACGCCACTTAAAATTTTAATGGCAAGAGTAAGATTTTTATGGAAGGCATTTATGTTAACAAATGTTTTAATAAAAGCTTTAGTAATCGAAAATCGACGTCATTTCAATCAACATATTTAACTCACTTTATTATTTACAATTTTCAGAAAGCTATAATTAGAAAATAGTATTTTAATTGTATAATTGTATAATTACAAGGGTAGAAATAAAATCAGGAAATTTGAAGTGGAAAGGCAAGAAGAAAGGCAGATTATTACAATCCTTTGTATAGATAGATCTTCCCATATATTTAACGGTCAAGTTTTCTAGATCGGATTTAGAATTTTTCGATTATCAATTTTGGCAGATCCATAGAGACGGGGATGTAGAGATATCCTCCTTAAGTATAAATAATCAATTATATTTATAACTGGGAGTCTCTCTTCATTCCCTCACATAAATCTTTCTAAAACTAATATATATTTGTTATTGTATTTAATAATAAATTAATTAAAATATTCGAAAAAAGGATCAACACGTTAGCATAGGAAATTATAAGTTAAATTAATTAATCCTTACTGTTTTTAAATTTAAATTTTTACTTGATAAATAATGTCTTGTCATAAGAATGAAGCTTTTAAAGTGTAATATTTATATATAAGATAATTATTTTACTTTTTGGAAATTTTAATAATTAAATTTATTTAGAATGTCAAATTCGAAAGAATGATGAAAAGTATTGCAAAATATCATTTTATCTTGAAACATAAAAGTCTTTATTAAAATATTTCCTTAAATTTACTTATATTTTTTTTTAAAGGAAATAAATTTAAAATTGCTAAAAATATTTTATATTAAGTTAATTATTTGATATTTAGATTATGTAAAGTACCTTATAAGTTAAAAGGCAGTACTTAGATTAGGGCAATTTTCTGATTTAATTAACCTACTTTAACGTAACTAATTTAATTTTAATTTATTTTTATTTTTAGTTTTATTAGAAAAATAAATTAAAATCTTATTTTTAAAAGATAAGTTTTTAAAGGTATGACAAAATTAGGAATTTAAGAACAAATTTTTAACTTTTATGACATTATTGTATCATATTGTTATTCAATAATGTTTTTCAAACCTAAATGCTAATGTCATATATTATATTTTTGGAAAATAGTATTCTATTAATTTTTCGATAAAACTTTTTTAATGTACATTATTTATATCAGCGTAGAAGTAAAAAGTGCTTAAAAGTTTTTAATATTTTTGTCAGAGATTCTTTCATATTTAATTCTTTATTATTACTATTTTTAATTATTTGTAAGTTTTACTTTTATTATTTGAATTAATACTGTAAATCAAAATTAAGAAAGTTTGATAAAACTTTGATAAAAGATGAAAGCTATTTTTGTTACAGAATTATTAATCAATGTATTTGTAAGTGTAATATATAACATCTGATAAATCTGACAAAAGTTTTAAAATATTAATTGTTAAACTCTTTGATTCAAAAGCTTAAATAAAATTATTAAAATTATTATTATTTATGAGCATTTTTAAGTGTTAAACTTTATTTGATTTAATTAAAAAATTTTGTTTTTTTGAAAAAATCCTCGTTAATTATGCAACGTCAATGTAATTCAGTGTAAGAAATTCAAATTTTTTATTATAATTATTATGAGCTTTCTTTTTAAAGTGATTTTTAACGTATTAATACGTTTTATTAATCATGTAGTAAATTTATCAATAACGTATTAGCAATAAAATAATTTTATTGTAAAAAAGATTTTCTAATGATCAATTTTTGAATATTTAAAACACATATTATAGGTACATGTAAGGTAAATATATTTAATATGAACATACATAAACGTTACAATAATAACGTTTTGAAATGTTACATTATCAACATATTTATAGTATTTTGAAAATAGTTTGCTCTTTATATATAATTGGAAATTATTAATTCTCTAAATTTTCGCAGAAAATTCTCAGAAATATAAGAGTTTTCTTTAAAATATTTATAATCAATTTATGTAGATATGTTTGTTTTTATATTTATTTGTAATATAGATTCAATTTTTCGACTTAATATGAAAGTTCATTGAGTTATTGAGTTACACGGAAATAATTAAATATTTTTATAATTTATTACTTTATAAATTTATAAACAAGTACTTCGATTTGTGTTACTTACAATTGCAAATCACAATTTACGATTTTACAAAAAATCACTTTTTGCATTAAGGTACTATGAAATAAGCTAAGGAATAAGCTACATTATAGGCGGATCGCTTAATTAAAGTATTACAAATGAGAAATAATTTACTTGTGCACATAAAATATTTTGTGAGGTACTAAAGGCAACAGAAGCACACCAGCCGGCTACTATATCTTGATACCTGGATTTAAGTGATATAGGTGTGATATTTTTATTCTAATAATTGAAAAAGCGAAATTTCAGATACCAACTTGTCATGTTGAATAAAGTGAATTTACTTGTGGAACGATTGACTACGCTAAAATAATTCATTTTAATATATATATATATATATATATATATATATACAATTGGTTTATTTATTGAAATGATTTAGTAATTTGGCTTTCCTTTTTTCATTTTTTAGGTATAGAGTAAGGTTCAAATCTTATCATAAGTTCTCGAAAGTAAAATCGGTTTTAGGATCGGAAAATATGTCTCCGAATATAGTTATTTTATTCTTTTTTTTTTAATGTGCGCATATTCATGTGCACGTTGTGTTGCATTTAAGGTTATAATAAGATGACAATGAGTTCTATGTATATATATATGATCATGCTATGATTTTATATTATAGCAGTTATAAATAAATGGCTCAAAATTGACTAGATAATATGATAAATTTCAATATAGTTAATTTATAATTATGTAAAATAATAGGTGTAAAATAACAAAAAGAGTATAAATATACAAAATATGCTTAGGAGGCGTGACTTACTAAAAATTTTTTCTATAAATAGTTTATTTAGATATTTTTATATATTTTTATGCAAAGAATAAGCATTTATTTTATGTTTGAATAAATTAATTTGGCCTTTATATTTATTTGGATATAATTTATAGAATAAAAATGATTATATTTGATAAGATATATATATATATATATATATATATATAGAGAGAGAGAGAGAGAGAGAGAGAGAAATATATTTGAAAGTCGCATTGGGATTATTATGAAATTTTGGCTTTTACTTTTAAATATACATTCCTCTGAATAATATTTTATCCAAACTATTCTAATATACAGTAGTTGGAACTTTGAATTTATTTGTTGCATTTTTATCTTTATAATTTGCTTTATCTTTTTACATTTTGAGAGGTTCAAGAATCATTTTACTGCAACTTGTGAAAACATTTTAATTATTGATGTTAAAAAACTATCAGCTTTCTATATTAAGAAGTTTCACGGTATTTATAAAAAATGTTTTCAATTTCTTAGATTACAAAGCAGAGTTAGCAAAGTCACCTCTTATATGGCTTTCAAAATATGCTATTATTAATACTCACACTCTTGTGCTTAAACTTGACAGTGTTTGAAAGTTCGCGAAGAGGCATACTGCTACGTATGGTACAATAACCAACGTAATTACCCCTGGATCCTGCGGCTGCGGCTACCGCAGATCGTTCAAGTAGGCCTCGAGATGGCGAAGTTTCTATTGTCGACACTAGTCGTCTTTTTCTTAGGTATTCCGAAACTTCTTCACCTAAATAAAATAAATCCGTATCTTTTAAAATATAATACAATTTAATACAATATTCTATTATTTATTGTCTTTATATATCCTAATGAATATACACAGAGAGAGAGAGAGAGAGAGAGAGAGAGAGAGAGAGAGAGAGTAACAGATAGAATTGGGTGAAGAGGCGTATTATGTATATGTATATAATGAAAGAAACAGCAATAGTTTTTAAACTTTCAATACCTATAGAATGAAAATAATTGCTCCTGTAAAGTTTGAATTCATTCCTTATATAGTTATAAATACTTTTAAATGTTTTTTTTACTTAATTAGAAATTTACATTGAATCATTTGCATTGAATCATTTACATTAACTAAGTGGTGTGCTTTTCTTTAGTACGATATATGAATTATTTTGTAAAGAAAATGAGAGTAGACCAAAAACGGACAGTGAATAGGAAATTTAAATGAAGAGATGCAGAGCAAGAAATTTTATAACAAAGTAGAGCTTACATTATTTAAAAGCAATTCGCTATTGCCAAAAATAGCAATCAATCGAATTGTTCACCTACTTTGCAGTCATTTTTAAGTAAAAGTCTGGTAAATGTTGAAATTAGGAAAATAAAAAAGAAAAACTTTATATATATATATATATGTGCGTGCGTGCGTGCGTGTGCGTGTGTGCATGTGTGTGTCTTTTCAAGGTATAAAACTGTATTGAGGATGATTTGATTCGCTTCCCTCCGTGTTTTGAATTTTTAACACGATGCATACATACATATGTGTATATAGGCGCGCAAACGCACACATTGATGTATAATGAATTGATACGAAGAGTGTCTAAGGGAGATATACGATACCAAGCTTTGTTGGCTTTGTGTTAATTTGTAATGAGGATGAAACAAACCAGTAATTTGTTGCGGTATGATGTCAGGATTTTTTTCATCGGACTCGCTGACATCGCCGGCGCTTATCGTGTCCAGCTTCCCAAAAGGACTCGCGTCCGGATGCTTCTCCTCAGTGATGAGGCTGCCGCACTCCCGGAAGCGTAGTTCCCTCTGTATGGGTACGGTTTTCACTGGCTTGCAAGTATCCTCGACGTGGGACTTGGACTGTTCGTCCACCTGCGAGTGCTGGATACGAAGTACTATCATGACGATCACGGCGACGATCACGAGGGCTGCCACCACGCCGATCATTACGCTCAGCATTGGTGTGAGTTTCATGTGCTGTCGTGGCCGCTCTACGCGTTCGAGAACACACGAATTGATTGATCAGAATGTCGAAATCTTTGTCTGGCTCTTACTAGCATTTGCGTGGGTGCATTCGACTACTTGTGGTTCGAGCCTCGCTTATCTCTCAGTCAGCGGAGGGGAGTTTGGATATAATATGCAATAAAAAGATGTATGAGAAGTATAAACTTTTCAATAATAGCAAGAAATAATAATAGATCGATAAGCTTATTATATTTGATGAACGATGGTGAATTTATCAATTTTTAATTCTATCCCGTTTGATCGTTTATTAATAGGATTAAATTAAATATGTAACTAATGAATATCTATTTAAGCTATCTACATATGTCAATATACATGACTAGAGAGTAATCCATGTAAAAGATGAAAAAAGGAAGTGAATATTGTATATTCTAGTGGTTATGAAATTGAGAATCGTGTCAAAGGTTAAATGTCAAAGACTATAAGAGATTCTAAGTCCGTACGAGCCTTTCATAGTCAATTTTTCTTTTTTTTTTCAACTACGTTTTTGCAAATACATTATTCTGTAAATATTTGCCTAAAGTTTTACATTAATCCGTGTAAAATTCTGCAGAGATGTAAGTCTTTGCAGCGAAGTGACATTGAGCCAGTGTAATCAATTTTTCAATGCTGTTTTTTAATTTTTACTTACGGATTTACATCAGATATGTAAGCAACAGATTTCAAAAACTATAGTTTGTATGAAGCATTGTTCGTTGCTCCTCGATTTCGACGTTTTTATTTTTGCATTATTTTATTCGAAAAATCCGTTGCTTAATCGACAAACTTTTTTAAAGCTATATCTTGCATTTTATGAATGAATTTTTTTTTTGTTTTTTTGTTTTTTGTTCGGATAAACGATAACGTTCCTTTCAAAAGCATTCAATATTTCAAATTTATACACAAAGGAAATCTCCACACTTTGCTTATTTCAAATAAGTTTGTTTAGAAAAATGTTATCAACGGTTTTTTTAGAGACGCTTCGGTAATTTAATAAAAATCATTTTCTAAATAATAAATATTTTCCCCGAAAGGCAAATAAGTTTATGCATAATAATAATAGTTCAATATTATGAAAGGATACACGCTCATATATTTCTAAATATCTTCAAAGAAATTCGCACACAACAAGGCTTATTAAATGTCTCTTAGACGTTGATTCGTCGGCGGCGCGATTCGAAACAAGCATCAAAGGCACTAAAATTATTACCAAGATGGGCATAAAGAGAGCGGTAAAAAGGAGAAAGATGAGACGAGATTTGTAGAAAGGTGCGAGAGGCGTCGACCTCGATATTTTTCATTGTCTTTATTCGTGCGCGATCTAGATTTGCGAATGCCATTAGAGCGTGAATGAAAGGGCGTGCACTCGCGGCAGTAGGTAGTTCACTGCGACATTGGAGCCAAGTTCCAAGGGCAGTGGAAGCATTCTTTGTGATTTCCCGCCTATTACCTCGTTGATTTAGACCCAAGATTTTGGGAGATTGGCGATTGGGGATAGGGGAATGGGGATTGGTCGACTAGACGCGGTTCTATTTTTACTAGAGTGCTTCTTCCATCTATCGACTCTTTTTTCGGCTCTCGAGCGGAGCTTGCCAGAGGTCGGGGGCGGGACACAAACAGGGCTCTCGCTCAGGGGAGTGCTCGGGCAGGTTGGAGGAGCAGGTGGAAAATGGGCTACGTGTCTTGCCGCACGACGGGACAACTCCGACTTCCTGACACGAGCTGCGATTGCCCGTAGTTGCTGATGTGCCGAGGGAATATGCTACCCGCCGAGATGCAACGAGTGCAACGAGTGCGACGAGTAGAACGTCGTTAGAGCCCGGAATGCCTCAAATCATTAAACTTGGAGACGGGATGCATCAGTTGTAGGGGGATATATATGCAGATTGAAAGCGTTGAGGGCTTATGGATTGTGATGCGTTGATTTTAGGTAAGGAGTTGCTCTTATACGTTAAGTCAGTTTTGGTTTAGAATTATTTAATGAACAATTCAAAGAAGCAATTAAAGTTGTTTGTCGGAAGTTCTAAAGCAACTATGTACGTTAAACGAGAGTACTTTATTTATGTGCTTGTGTAATGCAAATATACTTTACCGATAAGCCATTAAAATTGCTATTCACTCTGCTGCATATAATACAATATGGATTATAAGGAAATAGTACTTTTCTTACGTATTTACATTATGTATACTTAAGAGGTTAAGGTAATATTGTAAATTAAACGATACGCTTGTCTCTTTATAAAATTGGATGCGTCAAATTATGGTTATTTTTAAACGGTATTTTTTCTCGTACTAGTCTATTTTCGTGTACGCTTATCTATAATATATATATATATATATATATATATATATACTATTATAAGACTATTATAGATAAAAGCCAAAGGGACAAGGAAAAAAAGGAAGAAAGAAGAATTTTCAATGTTACATAAAAAACATTCAAAGACTAGATTTAATTAACATAATTAAAATAATAATAATAAGATTATAAAATAGATGCTTTTAATGTAAAAAGATCTTTGTTACGTATATTAAAGGTTTTTCGAAGATCCACTACAGAGTGAGCATGGATTATAATATTTGTTTAGTTATTGTTGTCAGGTTTATTTAATGAGAAGATTAATTGTCCTTAGATCGTCGCTTTCAAAATTAATTACAAATATCAATTAATTCGTAGCCGTCGATAAAATAATTTACAAGCGAATATTAAATAATTCGCTGATATTATAAAAATTCTTTTCTGCCGCAAAAAAAAAAATCATTTTATATTATGAATATTGAAAATGAGTACAGATTTATAATATTTAGAAGTCTATAATTAATTAATTGAAACAACACTTTGCAAATATTATGTCATATCGTAAGAATACACGTTATTATCGCAATAAATTTATTTATGAAACCCGAGCCAATTAGTTTTGTCATTAAAAAGTCAATGCATTTTCTCGTAATAGCGATATTGTATTTAAGCGTTGCTACTTTACTAAGCATAAATTTTATGACATTGTAATAATTGTTCATAAATTAGTTTACCATATCAAAAATTTCAATTTAACATCCAAAGGATGCACATCACCATAATCGTGTGGTGTGGGCAACCGTGAAATATTGTTTAAATACAAAATAAATAAATAAAAAATGTATGTTAAATTAAATAGAAAATATAAATAAAAATTAGACAATGATTTATTTATCGATATATTGAAGTCATTGAATTATTGTTCTTTCTTATTCGGTACCTATCATTTCCAAAATTAATTTATTATGAAAACAAATTGATTCTAAATATATTATAAGAAATTTATCATCTCAAATATTTCTAATATCACAAGGTTGATGTCTCGGGTACTTTTTGTATATTAAAAAAATCCTTGGAATTTTAGATTTAATCAAATTATTGACTAATTCTTTGTATAATTTTTCAACATCTCTGACAATCTTTACGGAATTTTTGTATAAAATAAAATGAAACTAAGCGTTTAATGTGCTAAAATTAAATTTCATACACACACACACACACACACACACACACACACACATATATATATATATATATATATATATATATATATATATTTATTAAATAATTGCGCTGCATAAATGTATACCGTATTTGTCAACTGGTAAAAGGAAATTTATGAAGCGAATATAATTTTTTAAGACTTGGAATATTTTACTATATCATAAATACTATATATAAATGAAATTTCAATGTTAAAATCTAATTTACGTTCTAAATACATGGCGCTATAACAGAAAATATTAACGAAAATCGAGCTACTTTATATAATAATTACCCAATTCTTTATGAAAGTTTTCGTAGTCTTTAAAATTTATTGGCAGATTTTCTACAGAAAAAAACAACAAAAAACAAAAGAACGTAAATTATTTTTTTGTTCACATTTTCGCTTGGCATTCATATGAATGGCATCGCAAAGATATTCAAAGGCTTATAAATATTTAAATACTAAAGATTTTATACTATTTATAACCGTTTGACAATGCCGAGAACGAATACGAATAATCTATGCGAACGACAATAGTAACGGAATTACCATTTTATATATTTCAGCATTAGTTTAGATTATTATATTCTCAAGTTATATGGAATTGGTATATACAGTTTTCTGTTTATTTTCTATATTTTCTATTCGTAAGGTGCAGAGAGATTCGTATAATTGAACGACCCGTGTCTCTTCATTACCTATTCGCATAGGTGAAATGGTTCGAGCAGTCGACAATTTAGCATTTAAAGTCTCTCAGCGCCTGTTCCTCCTTGCCCCCGGTAACGAAACGAATAGGAGCAAATGGAGGGATCGCGATGGTCGTCCGTCTCGGCATCAATCGGTTATAAGTAGCATAGATAAGCCTACCTGAGTCCGACGTTAATTGCTTTTCCGGCGGACTTAAAGTCCCAGCCTGCACGACCATCGGCTCGCTCCGTCCTTTATCATTGTAGGCGTGAACGTAGGCTTGATAAAGCGAACCGGCTTCGAGACCGCTCACGCTAAAGTGGGGAAGACTCGAGGTCAAGTTCGCCTTGAGCTCCAGGCTGTTGCTTTCTCGCACCTCGAGGAAGAAGGATTGGTTGAGGCCTCCGTCGAAGCCCGGACTGCATCGGACGACGAACGAGTTCTTCGACGTGTTGGAGGTCGTGCAGTTGTGCACCGCATCGGGACGACCTGCGAACATTGCATTGCCATCCAAGTTTCTTCTTGAGTTCGAACGGAGTTACAAGCGATATCGTTATTGCTGGCAGAGCTGCCTTGAATAGGCCGTTATAGGAGTTCTCCGGCCCCAGAATTATTCCCCTAACTTTGAAATGCGCTCTCAACAATCAGGCATTTTACAAACTAACAGATTTTCTTAAAACTTTTTGATAATATCTTAAGAGATCCAACATTCGGCGATTTCAAGAGTAAACTAAGTAATAGCTGCTTAACCGGGCGAATTCCCATTAGACGTAATGCAAAATTTGAGCTTTTACATCATGCAACTTCAATTTGCTAAAGCTTACGTTCCACGTCACGAGCTTTTAAAAAGCCGCTTGCTAAAAATTAGATTATTTCAATGCTTCCTCCTATGTACCTACGTAAAAAAATTATTATACCAACGACAAGTTATTCTTTCATTTTAAACGATAAATTTAATCAAAAAATTGACGCCTTTGCAAGAGAGTTTTTAACAGAGTTTCTTTTTAGCATTTTTTCAATTACGTTCATAGCTAATCAGTCACGAGAGATTAAAAGTAAACTTTGTCATTTTACCATTAATCTGGCCTCACTAATCTTCATAAATTCAATGCAATAAATTGTAATTGTTATAATTTATTGCATATGTATAAATTAAAATTCATAATATTATACAGTATTATTTATTATTATTTATTAGGTCGGTGGTTTTTGAGAGGCAAGAATGACTGAATTATTTATGAATTAATGTATTATTTCAAACTTGCATTGCCATTATTGTAAAAATAGCTGAGATAGTATTACAGTCTTAATTAAAATCAAAATCTTAAATCTTATGACACTGAAGGAAACTCAATTGTAAGGATTTGTCGTTCGAATGAATTTCGAATACTTTGAATCAGGAGGGAAACAGTTACCACCGTTGCTAATTTTATATAATATGTAACAATTCCTTATATATATATATATATATATATATATAAATACCTTAAATTAATATTTCTGACTAACACTTCACATAAGCATTGAGCAATGAAATAAAAGAATATTTTCTATATTTTAAGATGGTACTCTATTCTAATATGAATTACAGCCTTATACTTTATATATTAAAATAAATGAAAAATTATATTATTTACAACATAAAAAAATTTGTTTCTATTAAAAATATTTTGTTTCATGTATATTTCTTCAAAGAGTTTCTTTAAAAAGCCCATATTGTACTTTAATTAAGACAATTAAGATGTTATAAATTAATATATTAATAATTAATTAATTAGTTTATAAATTTAATTGAATGTTATTATTAATTTATTTTTAATATTTATCGTTATATTAATTTTTTCTATAAGCATTATTACTTTTCTTTAAATGTTATTTCAATTTTTCATTGAAAGTATATACTCATTCTAGATGATTCTTGATTCCATTTTTATCTTTACCGTGAAATTTCTTGCGGCTCTGTGCTTTCGATTTTTCCTATTAATGTTCTATATATATATATATATATATATATATAATTCTGGTATATTTTCTACAATTCATTTTCCATTCTAGTTATATGTTTGGTCCATTTTCATCTGCATGATTTAATTATCCTTATATTTTGTTAGTATACAGTCTCTTTATGACACGATTATGTAATTTTTCGCTATATTTTCCACTTTTCTCGCGCTATGCTATAAATATCATTTAATTATTTTAAATTTCAATATAAAATATTTTTTACATGCTCTTAAGTGTCATATCTTATAGTTGTTTAAATGTTGTCCAGAAAGATTATTTATTTATTATAAAGTCTAGTCGTAAAGAAGATATTAATTGAAAACATATATTTTCCGCGATATAGTTATTCCGTCAGAATATAATAGATCATATAAAATTTTATTATTTATTTATTTTTTCGATTAGCTTATTGTGACGATATTTTGTTATATATTTATTAGCAATGCTTTTTTTATTCGACAAAGATTTAACTTCTTATTCATTTTTCAATTTAATTTTTATTCAAATTTTATATTTACTCTATAGCGTATCTGTAAAAATGCGTTAAAAACATAGATATTAGCAGTTAAATTATAACAATTTTAAATTTATATAAAAAGCAACAAAATTATATAACATACGAGAAATATGAGAGTTTCTTCCGTTGAATATATTATTAATGCGATTTCTCTCTAATTAATTACATACAGTTCTTCTTTTACCGTAATTAAATAAAGATATGGTATTCCCGCAGTAAAACTTTTATTTTGAATCATTATCTAATACGATTTTCTTGTATTTCATAGAATTATATATTTAAAAATCACATTAAGAACTTTAAGTTTTATTTACAAAATAGTGTAATTAATATTGCGTATTTTCAAAGAATGTTCGTATTACCTATGTATTACAAATTATTGTAGTAATTTTTAAATTATTCATCTCTTCTTGACATTATACGTTTAAATAATGCTTATTACGAGTAAAACTTTATTGTATTTAATAATTACATACTCATTTATAGGCTATTTATGTAAACGTTTTAATTGAATTTGTTTATTATTGAAAATGTTTATACGACGATCAACTTTTATACATTTATACATAATGTTTATATATATATATATATATATATATGTATATATATAACATTTTGAGTTTAACCATCTTAATTACTGTCTACGTATTATATTATTTCAGCTTGTTTGTACATTCACGTATAAAAAATTTTATTGATTTTTTTATTTACCAATGATAGTTTTAATACTTCAATTAGATTCTGTTATATGAATAGCATAAACTTTTATATATCGTATTGTTTTATTTTTATTGGTACGTTTGTTTGTTGCAAATGTTTTATGGAACTATTTTCACGTACAATCAAATTTTAAATAACGATTTAAATATTTTACAAAATTATGTTCTATTTCTTCTTGTTGCATTCATAATATAAAAAATATTTATATTTATAGATATTAACTATACTGCATGGCTGATGAAATAATATTTACTTATGCCTGCTTATGACTGCAATTAAATTATAAGAATGTTACTCTTATAATTCTTTTATGTTTCGTTTTTAAGGAATATTATAATTCGACTTTGTAAAGTACTAGAAATATATTTTTAACTTCTAGAAGAGATAGGACAATAAAATAATTAATATGTTATTTTTATAAAAAACAAAGCTTGGTTTATTTTTCTTAACTGTATAATCTAATTTATTCGTCTATGCTTATCATCTTCACTTTTAATTACACCTTAAATCTCTTGTATCTCATACTTTTTCTCTTTAATAATTACAAGGCGCTATGTAAAATGTTGATACTATTCATTAAGTAGAAATCATAAATTTTAATTATAAAAGTTAAAATATTTTATACTAAATTTTTATTTATGCTCGGATAATAATTATAGTTTGGAACTTTAAAAATTATAAAATCTATTATACAATGATTTAGAATAAATATATGCTTATACATTTAATTATTCATTAATTAGTAATAACGGTCTAATTGTATTTAAGAATCTAAATTACAATATATAATTGTTTTATTAATAGAATATTATATAATTGAATAAATAAATAAATTATTATTTATTATAAGATAAATCTAATAAATAATATTAGATTAGATGAAGGTAAGCTTATTAATATTATATTAGATTTTCTACTTTTGTTATTTCCACTTGCAATAGAGTGTTAAGCATATCTTGTATATATTTAATATAAAAATTCTTAAAAATACGAAAATGTATAAAATAAAATAAAATGTATAAAATGTTAAAAATAAAAAATATTATAAAAAGATGTAATTATTACTGGGATTTAGATATTATTAATAAATAATCTGATAATTAATTACATCTTCATATATTCAACTCGGAAGGTTCTCAATTGTTTTGAATACAAGCTGATGCGAAATTAATCTAATTGGATAAATCTAAATATTTCAAGAAGATTCCGACGAGCAATGAGTGTAATGTAAAATACAAGTCTGAGAAAAGTATTATGTAATATTAGAGGATATTTAAATTAAGATTGCGTTAATGGGATGGATTATCGTGCGAGTTATTTTTGTCATTCGACATGTATTACCTGCTGGTATTATATAATAGACGCAAGGCACCTGCTGATGTCCTATTCGATTTGTTGCCCAGCACAATAAAGTCCCATAATCCATCTCAATCATTGGCTTATAGCTCGCCGTAGACGATGTTCCCGTCCTCGAGATATGGCTGGGGGCGAGATCGATACTTTCTGCTGAGTTGTTAAAGGTCCAGCGGAATTCCACTTCCTGTGGATTAGCGTCAACCTGGCAGGATATACTTGCCTTCTCCTGCTTCGCTACTCCGTGGATTTTCACCTGGTTGGGTTTACAGGTTGGTGCAACTAAAACAGTTTTACGTATTATTGACTGCGACGGGATAAATGCTCCAGGGACGTAAGCCTGCGTGGACGCTCTTTCGCTAAGCCATTTCAAGATTCTACTCTACATTTACTAACTGAATCTTTCTTCTTATCTTTTCTTTCCTATCATTGTATACATAAGCACAGTTAGTTGTGTGAAATTATTGATAAAAAGATTTTGATTGTACTTGCGTTTATTTATTATTACGCGCACGTGTTCATTCTCGTTGTTGGATTATTAATTATAGGGAAAAGCCGACAATTTATCACACTGTACATTACAATATAAATGCTGAGCTTATGTCGTTTTATTTTCAAGAAATGGCAAAAGCTTTTGTTATTTTGTGCTACGTGATATATGTATTTGTTCTTTCATACCACAGCACAATGTTTATTTATGCTAAAAAGTTTTGAATGGATTTTATAAATTTTGCTAATATATGTGCAAATAAATGTACATATTTATTTAAAAGCAAATTAAAATTTATGTTATTTAGCAGACATTAGTGTTGCATTTATTTAGCTGATGTGTCATTATTTTCAGTAACCAAAAAGTAAATGTCAGGATTTATTTCTATTTAAAATCATATTCGATACATGTAGTATTGCTTATTTGAAATCATTCATATTCCATTTATAAGCGATTAATATGCCAGCAGCATCTGACTGATCCAAGATAAGCAACTTCGGTAAGGTGCAGTTTCATATCGAATCTTGATTTGATGAGGTAATCAGTTTTGATTTTGTTGACATGTCAATAAAGTTTAATTGCACTTCTATTCAAAATATATTTCGTACGATATATTTCGTGTGTATAACGAATGGATAAACTCGAAAAAAAAAAAAATGAAAAAATCGAGATTGAATCTAATCTTATAAAGCCTGTCAAATCAAGGGCAGTTTAAAGTAATTTCTTATCGCAATGATGTATTATTCGCATTGTATACAAAAAAAAAAGAAAAAGAAAAAAAATGTAGGTGCACGTGATTATTTTTTTTATTATTTTTTTTATACGCTATATATGAAAAAAAATGCTGGCTATAGCTAAATTGACTATTGTCATGAAATATTATTTAAAAAAATCAATTATTAATAAAAATGAATTTATTCCGTAAGTATGACAAATATCACTTTATTTGTAGATATTTATTAAGCCATTATTTATTTATTTCGCATTATAAATGAAATAATGTAGATTTGCGAAATGTTTATATTATCAAGTAAATGCATTAGACGATTAGAAATTATTATAGAAAAATCTCAAAAGTATTTTCATTTAATTATAAGTAATCTAGTGAAACTTTTTAAATTTCTTATAAGAAGTTTAAAAAGCTAATAGAGAATATTCGGGCACGGAAAATAGATTGAAGATACAGAAGACTTTGTTTTTAAATACTTTAGTCTTTTCTCTCGTGTACCATAATATTGAACAGATTGGAAATCACATCTTGAGGGTTTCATATTGACCAAGATTATAGACACAACTTTTCATTATGGAAATTTCTTAAATTCAATTACTAGCTGCTCAACTTATGTAATTCAGAAAACTTTATTAGTAATTCATACGAAATTTTATCTCAAATGTAATGACCCTCATTGTTCTTAACAATAAGTTAAGTGCTCAGAAGTTATTCAACCATAGTAATTTCCCGTTTTACCTTCGCCCACGTCCAACCCATTGCGCAAAAAATCCATCTAGCACGAATTCGTTCAGCCAACTTTCCGAGAAAGCCCCACCCCATACAAACAGAAAGCTAGAAAGTAAAAAAAAAAGTAACAGAGAAAAACAGAAACAAAAACGAAAAAGAGGAAGAAAATGGTAAAACAAAAAAACAAAAAAGTCATATGAATAAAAAGGAAAGAGCTTTCCTCGGATTACCATTTATATTTCCATCTCACGGAAAAATGTCGCGGCAAAATCCATCAGAGAGAAGAATCAAGTTTAGAAATCAAGTTTATTCGCAGTTGCCTCTTTTAATCGCAGAATCGCGCGAAAAAGACCTGGGACATCCTGGATACCTGGCCCCGCAAAACTTGGCCGTCGAAACTGTATCGAGACGAGATGAACTGACGCAGTTGGATTAAAAAGCCGCACCTCCACCAACTCATCCGTGGACTCGGGGTGACGGGCATCCTGACACACGGTCCTAATGACAGAGCGTCGCGCATTGGCTGGCGCAGGCCCACATAAACGGCGCCCAGGCTAACATAAGGGTCGAACGAGTTTAAGCCCTATCCTCTTTCAATTTGCCGTACTCACACATGACGTTCAAATAAAAGGGCAAACTTTCGCCGTCGCCCTCGGTATTGTATCCGACGCAGGTGTAGTTGCCAGCGTTTTTCCTATCGACGCCCTGGAGGACGAGGCTCTGATTGCTTATTATGACGCCCTGCGAGATGTTGTGATTGAGAGTCTTCCCCTGTAATGCAAAGGAAACGGCGAGTTGAGCCAAAGTCGACGTTGAAAAGATGTTGCTGGGCCGAGTCGATTAGAGCGGGAGAGAGTAAGGATAAACCTCTAACGAAAAGAGGGATTAGCTCTGTGCGGCTAGGATTATGGGATCGAGGCTCTGATGAGTGATGAGGGAGGCCTGATTATCGTCGATGCTCAGCATCTCGGTGATAAGTTCCTTCTTCGATTTTTTATTTCGCTAGCTTTTCTTATTTCTTAGCGTAAGCCGCTTGTGCTGCACTAGTCCATAATGAGATCTCGCCCGAAAATGTCGACTTTTTATATCACTAATTAAATACGTGCATTAGGCTCTTCGGTTTTCGCTCGTCACGATTAGGTACGTAAAATTGGATTTAGGTTTATTATTATGTATGCGCAAACCGATGCATGCAAATTCGAGATCGCCACCGTTGAGAACAAGTCGGGCTCGGATGAGTACGTAGTACGACGAGGAGCTCGCGCTAATTAAAAGTCCAATACTCATTAGGCATGCGAAAATACCGATAATCAGTCGAACGATTAAAATGCAAAAAAGTCGGTAACGCGACATTTAGTATTCATAATGCTCGATCGTATTTTTATTATGAATTTTATTTAACGTTAGCATAATTTATTAAATGCCCAGTGGCATATGGCTTTATTTCGATTGGTAATATCGTTTTATCGCGATATCATTAATCTTGCTTGTAGTCACGATCAATTTCATGCTAAATCAAAAGTCTTAATCGGAAAAGTTTGATTACATTCAATATTTTGCGTAAGTTTGACAAAGACGGATTTTTTTTTGACAAAACAAATTATATAACAAAAAATGTGTGTGTGCGCGTTCGCATAAATATATCGTGTGTGTGCGTGCGTGTGTGTGTGTATGCATGTGTGCGCGCGCGCGTGTATAAATATAGTAGCGTGATTTTTGTGACTTAAAGTTATGTACATACATAGATATTTGCTTATGTAACGATTGAAACTTCGTGGCTTACTTAGGTTTAAATTGTATACGTACGATATTGATTGCCCAACTTTTCTGAACATTGAACTTTACTTCTTCAATTTTTAGTTATAAGAAGTGAATTGCGATACTCGCGAAACTCGTGAAATCAGCCTGACACATATGCTATTGAAATAAACGACGAGTCTTGATTAAAATAATCGCGAAAATCCAAAATAAGTCGGATACGTTATTAGAAAATTTGAAGTCTTTGACGTAAACAAAGCAAGATGAAAAATGTATAACAGTTACTAGACTATTTATAGTGTTAAATTAATTTAAGGGTAAAAAGTTTCAAAAGTTGGAACCCACGCTTGTTATGTAGGAGATGATAAAACAAAATCTAAAATAAATATTAATTCGTGTAGCCAAGCCTTTCGTGCAAAGTCAGGCTTACTCGTGAGCTCGAACTTTGGAATATCCGTATCGCAATTATAATAATTAATGTACGGGGCGCGAATAATTAAGGCGATAAAACCTGTCGAGTCTTTGGTCCCTTTCTCTACCACACTTGAAAGTTTTTACTTACAATAGTACGTTATTGCTTCATTAATAAGATGAAAGATCGTGATAAATACCTGATGCCTCCACTCAACCTTATAAACCGGAGGTTCGGCCTGTATTAGACAGTCGAAGTATACATCGCTTCCTTCTTTGATGGCTTTTGGATCGAGGCTCGTCCCTAGTCGGATTGTAGTCTCGGGTGTGTCTGTAAAAGATCGATTGTGAAAATTGGTTTTACGGTTAGAGTTGAGATAGATAGAGAGCTATAATGTAGCCTATCCAGTGTGATTTAGCGCAAGAAATTTTTAGCATCTATCTCTATCCTATCTATCTATCCATGCATCTATCTCCATCTATCTATCTCTCTATCTATCTATCTATATATATATAGTATGTTGCGTGCATTGATTTTACTTCCTTCTATTTTTCTTATCATTCTTAAATAAATTATGTTATTATTGGTTTGATATGGAATGTTGTCCTTAAAACTGTTTAATTTATTAGACAATAACTCTTAAAATTTTCAATTCTTTTTTATCTAATTTATTGCTATTTATTATTTATCTAAAATAATATTTCTGCAATGTTATCAACGTTATATGTCACAATTTTGAAACAAAACCTTCAAATTAAAAAATGGCATTTATCCAAGATATTTAACACAATTTCCGGACGGTTGGTTTTCAATCTTTTTTAATAATATCTGAATGCTAGTTTCTTTTAAATTCTCGCAATACAGCATTAATCGGTATTCATGTAATATGATATTTTATATATACAAGATATAAAAAATAGAAATATCTTTTCTATTTTTATAGTAATTATAGAAAAAAATATATGTTATATGTTGTCGCAGATTTAAATTTTCTCTTTTTCGAGTAGAATTTTCAATATTCTTTCTTTCACTCTCACTTACATATATACATATATAAATATACATTAAAACACATACACGCGAGCGCGCGAGACACACATGCAAGTGTATATATACATATATATATAAAAAAAATATATACATATATATATAAAAAAAAAATATATATATATATATACTTTTTATATAAAATGCATATTAATCCTCTTTGATGTGAAAATTTCTTTTTGATATTTTTAAAAAACATTGATTTATTTATTTATTTGTACTTTTTCACGTGGTAGGCTATTGCATAATATATTAAAATGGATTTGCAATTTTGCATAAATGAAAACATTTCTTTAAATGTAATTATTGAAAAATTATAATTCCTACTGGAATATACGATAAAGCCTGTTTTATGCTTCATTACATTCGGTTAAATCATTAAAAAATATTAAATTATTAAATTATGAAAGACATTAAAAAATTATAATAAATTATAATATTTTATGCCATCATTAAGTGAACCAAAAGGGATTATCATTGCTGTAAAAATATAATTTAATTTGATGTTTTTTATTTGAACCGTCATTTTTAATATTGTACATTATAATCTGTAATGTCTACTGAAGCTGATATACATTATATATTCTGAATTCTCTCACGCTTGAGCAATAGTGGATTTCGTAAATTTTAATGAAATGTTTTCTTGTCCCGAAATTTTCAGGCTTTCCCGTCGAGTCAAACACAATCCTCCCGATTTTATACAATATCTAAAAAATCAATAAAAACAAGAGAAAGAGAAAGCAAACTGCTGTAAATTACGAGCTTACATTGTATTTCCAAAAGCCAGACGTCCTCGATGGGGCTGCTCCTCATGATTGGATTTTCCGCGCGACACAACAGCCGTTTACCCGCGTCTTCCTTGCTAGCCGTAAAGGACAAAATGCTGGTGGTCGTATTGCCGTCGCTCGTTGTCTAAAAATAGTTGCCAAATACAAGCGGAGGGAAGAAAAGAGCCAGAGTAAAAAAAAAATAAAAACAGAAACACTGTTCTTGCTCCCTCACGCCTCTTGTCCCCCGATTTTCCTCATTTTTTCAACGCCGTTTCTAAAGGAAGTGGAAAAGGGGGTGAATGAGGAGGAGGAAAGTCAAGAAGAGAAGGAGCGTCATTGGAATAAGGGGGCTAGCGGGTACGCACGACCGCGCACGCACACGCACACACACACACGCGCACGCACGCGCACGCACGCTTACACACATACACACACACATACACACACACACACACACACACACACACAGAGAAAATGTAGAGAGGTAATCAAAAAGAAAATCGCGCTCCAAAGCTGCGATTAAGCGTCGAATTTCTATTTCTCTATAGTAATATTATAGCGCGCTCGGCACAGTCATCCTGATGCGGCATTTCTGTCCTCCCATACAGAGAAAATGCGTGCTTGGCTTTATTGTTTTAGCATCGTTCTCTCTTATTTCTATTTTCCCTCGGTTTTGGCGCAAAATTGAGAAAACGAGTCCTCGAAATTCTCAATGTCCTGTTAATGCATTCGGGTAATAAGCTTCGAGGTATTTTTTTCTCTTTACATGGTATATCGATATTTACTTTTAACCTTCTTGTGAAATGAAATAATGCCGTAGCGAATACTTGAACTTAAATTAACTGTATAAAAAGTAAAATATGATATAGAAATATGATGGATATAGTAATATTGATAGAATTATGTGTCATCTTTGGTATAAATATGTTACTTATTGTGACATTCTTTTGAATTTTTTTAAAAATTATAATAGAGAGACATTATTAGAGATTAAGTTTCACAAATACAAGCATTTTCCCTTAAATTAAATAAAATTTCTTATATTTCATTTAATATTTTATAAAATTTGTAAAGTCATATTATTACAAATGCTTGCAAATACATTTAACCGAAAATTTTCATATTGCATGAATATTATTAATTTTAAGATTTAGAAAATAATTTTTTGCTGCACATTTATAGCGCGTGAAAATATTTGAATTTGAACAACTAATCTTACTTTAGACATATTTTTCGTATATTATCAATTAATTAAATATTATTAACGAGTATTTAAAAATAAATTCTTTTCTATTGTTCTTAACTCTTAGATAAAAAAATTTTCCCTTGTATTAATTTACAGTGATAAATTATGATATTTTTATAAAATAATTTGATATTAATTTGTTTTCATACACCATTCTCCGTAAATTATTCATTAATTATAAATAAAATAATTAATAATAGTGTAATAACATAATAAATTAATAATAAACCAATGGTCTTCATGGCTATATTATTTATGTAACTATTTAATAAGCATATAAATTTCAAGGTTTCCTTCACTATTACTTAAACTAACGTACATCGAAATGCGAAAAGCAAATTAAAATTTTCTTTTTAAAATAGGAAAAAAGTATTTATTATGAGTTTAGCATTCGGAAATTTTATACTTTAGTATTAAAATCAGTTTGAAATAAATAGATGGTAAACAGTTGATTTTAACAATTTTTTGCATATATATCTTACTCGAGCACTCATTTTAATTCAGTTATATTTGCAATTAAAGTATTAGGCACGGGATTGTAAATAAAAAATTGATTATTGTTTTTGCGCACGTTTAACGTATAATTTATAACTCAGTGAATGTAGTAATTAGCGTCGAATCTGTCAAAAGCAAAAACATATTGCATTCGAAACACTGCGGGAGGCCGTAATTCATAACCGAAAAATAACAATGTGAATATTGTTTTTACTTACACTGTCTTTTGAATGCAACAGTTTCTGTTCGTCCCTTAACCATGTAATGAGGGCTGTTGGACGGCTACCAGATGTACTGCAAACAAGATTATAGTTCTTTCCAGCTGACAGTGGCTGATTTGCTCCCTCGATATTTACTGTTAATGGACTGACTAGAATTGCACAAAATACATGGATGTCAATTGTACGAAATGCGAAATATTACAGTTACATAAGTAGTCATCCTTTATACAATTTTTACAATTTAAAAATGACATTTGATACTATAATCAAATAATTGATGATATCAATTTTAAAAACTTTAATTTGAATTTCACTTTTTAACATATGGAATATAGTTTCATCAAAGGTTTATAAACTTGATCAAAAAGTAAATGTTTATTTAAAATTTTCTTTGATATTTTATATTATATTTATTTTATATTTCTTTTATATATATATATATATATATATATATATATATATATATATAGTTAAATATCTACGAAATCAATCACTAATTATATGTGATTTTTATTTGTCATTATTCATTGATATTTATATAAATGAAAGTTGAGATTTTTATAAATATAAATTGTAAATAATTTTAAATAAAATAAATTCTAATATCGTTTTTGTAACTTAGGATAAGCGCTTATCTTGCTTGTTTTAATAATGTAAAAAGTGATTCCCTATCGAATTTCTTTAATGAAAAATAACGAAAGAATCTTCAATATCAAATATTCGATCTTATCGCAGTGTTGATATGTTTTTATAGTTGGATTTAGTCAAAAGGAAAATATAGGATGAGTCTAGGGTGATGATGGAAATTGACATTGACAAATCTCCTTTAATAGCAGCATCCTATATATTATCATCGCATCTTTTCACAAATGGCAAACTTTTCTTTTCCTCGCAAAGACAAGCTATCGGTCGAGGATAAAATGTGTGAGACAAAGGTTAACGCTATTGCTATTACTTTTTCTTTTTTTTTTGACGAACTACCCTCGATATAAAGTAAAATTTTTTAAAAATTTTCGACCTACCAGTGAGCTTGATATTAGTTATCAGTTGATTAACCTCGCGCGACTTTTCTCATTCTTGTAACTATTACTGCTTGAGCACAGCAAGAGATTTTTTACTTGAAAAAGTATGTAGGGTAATTATTTAACCAAGTTTCATTACTCTATTCACTATTTCACTTTATTTTTTCATTTAGTTGAACTACGATGAACTTATTAGGAAATAGTAATTAACATTATATGTTAGAAAAACTCTTTAAAAATTAATTATAAAAATTTTTATTTACATAGCTATTACAAATATACCGATATAAATTATTTTTATGATTAATAATGTAAAGACAAAATTGACTTGCCCTTTTACATGTTTAATTTTACTTTTATTTGGTTATAGAAAACTTAGATATTTTTAAATTAATTTTGAATTTAATAAGATATATATATATATATATATGGAAAATAAATTATGAATATAAATTTATTATTTAATGAATGACACTTTAATAAACTGTTGAATTTCTCAATTTATCAAATTCGAAACAAGCCTAGTTTACCGTTTAAATATTTATTTATTTTGTAGAAACTGGTCATCATTAATACTTTGTGTTTATTAGGAAATTTTCACATTTTATGCTAATAAGTAGTCAAGTTAACTAATAATTGGATAAATTAATTTATAATTAAAAAATCATAGCTTGCATTTAATGAAGATGAAATATATTTCATATATACGTTAAAAGAGATAAGAGTAACTTTTTTAATATCACAGATTCTCATCACATTCTGGCTTTTTCGTAGCATATTTACTCATTGTAAAATACAAATATTCTACAATTTTTTATTTCAATATGAACTATTTTTTTCATAAAATAAATTTATTTACTCTCGTAATTATAAGTTTTTATAATATTTCTTACAATATGTTCCGTCATTTATCTTTCATATTTCTGTACTTAATTTTGATCTTTCTTTCTTAATCGATCATTATCATTATTATTATATATAAATATTTATCTTGATGTAATTATCAATTTTTTATTACATTAAAAGTAATTTTCAATCAAATTAAATTTATAAATTTTTTAAACTTTATTAAAACCGTATGTTTTCTATAATTTTTATTTAGTTATCTATTTTTATTTACATTTTAAAAATAATTAATATAATTTTTTCACATATGAGCTAATAAAATACAAAAAATTTGTCGGACCTAGAAGTTTAACGGTTTTTAATTAAAGTACAAATAAAAAGTATTTTTGGAAATCTACGTTATTCGAGTATAAAATGTATTTTTATATAATACATTTTATTTATTCATAATAGAAGTTTAATGAAAATACAATAAAAATCTTTAGGTTTTCTTTATTCTTTACATCCTGCACTTTCTTTTTTATGCGACAACATAAACTTAGTTAATTATTAAAAATGAAAGAATTGTGATACTTTGAGAATCCAAGGAACGAACTAGTAAGTATAATATTAAATAAAATACAAATGAAAAGAAATATAAATAAATATAAGAAATATATAATATGTAATACTACTATGTATGTGTAATATAACTATAATAAAATAATCTAATAACCACAATTTGTTTACTATAATTTGTTAATCATGTTTTACAATACGTATAAATTTTATAGACATTCGTATTAGATAAATTATTGAATATATAAAAAAAAGTTTATATACTTATCAATACGAAATTATTAAACTATTTTAATAAATTAATATTTTATAATATTAGAAATTAAATATTATATTACATTATATTACAATATTGCGGTATAATTAAAAATATGAGATGATAATTATATAATGTAAAACCCACTAATTAAATAAGTAAATATATACACCACACATTTCTAATATTCAGTTTGTTTGCATATTATCATACTATAGTTAGATTTTTTTCAACGTGATACATTTGTCAATTAATGTAAAATAGTCTTCACGCTATATTGGTTAGATTAATGAAGCAAAGCTGCAATAATATAGGATAGTCCTAAGTGAGACAAAGAAATTATGCACTAATTTAACGCACAAAGAGCTTCGATATTGTTAAATAGACGTTTAATAATGTCATTCTAGCTGAAGGGTTAATCCTTAGAAGCTTACAGCATTGATCAACTTAGATTTGCTATTGTTGAGATGCAGCACATTTGCATTAAGGTATGATAATACACGCTTACAATATTATTTAAATACTTATATATATATATATAATAAATTTAATTTATATATATCGTTTTTTTTTGTCACGACATATTGTCAAGATTTGGTCTTCTTAATATCTTTTTGGTTTAAAAAGTTAATTATAATTCGAATGTGTCACTTAGTTTAATCTCAATCGTATGAAAATAATTCATACGTATTTAATACATTATTCATGTATTTTAGACGTTTCAGAATTGCATGTTATTAATTCACTCGTTATCGGTTCATGATATACCAATATAACTGTCAAGTCATAAACATTTACAAAACATAACTGCCATTATAAAATTTAAAGACTTTAATATACCAATGTAATTTCGGTCAAAGATTAATCGAATTGTAAAACAATAAAGTTAATTTGACTAGCAGAACTGGTATACTCGATACACGTCTGTTTCTATAAATTTGCAATAAAAGCTTTCATTCACCTTTAATAAAAAATTTTTACTTCCAACACGAATACGAGTCTGTAATAAAATCTAGAAATCTATGATAAAAAGCAGCATTATTTTAACTTTCATTAATAATTATAATGAAGTAGATTTAAAAAGGGTTTGGTTATTTTTGTTTATTTATATCAACCAATAATTTGACATATTTAAGTACATTATAAAAAATATGTAGAGTCATATGATGTTATAAAAACTTCTAAGATACCATATTCATTCATATATTATTATAGATAATATTTTCAATTAAATGTTTGTATTACTTAAAAGTTTTTTTCAAATTTTTTGTGATTCGATTGAATTATTTTCTAAATCTTTGGGCGTGAAATTGGGGTTGGATATTTCATTGAATATTCCCTTTCTCTGCTTAACGATTGATTTGTTTATAATATGTAATTGAATTACATTTTTATAATAATTGTAATACGAAAACGCCCATTGAAGATACGTGATATATTAATAGTATAAAGAGGTAGCTCAGGTACTTTATTGAATTGTGTAATACAATTTTCTATATATGATTTATGCAGAATGGTGTATCATTTCAGTGAAATAACTAATCAATTAATAATAAATCTGAGAATAAAATTATTTATAATATCTAATAAAATTGATAAAGATATTCTTAGAATGCTATTATTTAAAATATTATTGTAATTTAATTGTAAAGTGTAATCATTTTATAAAGTTATATGTCTATTTGTAAACGAAAAAAAAAATTGTAAAAATGATTAATTTTTGTTACTTGAAAAAAACTATTAGTGATCAAATATAATATAAAGAAATTATTTTTTTATGAGAATAGACTATAGATGGAAATTACACTAAATTAAGTATTGCGAATTAAAAATTCGAATGTATTTATATATCTGTAAATTTTGTATAGATAAGAACATAGTAGAGTAACGATCAATAATTATCAAATAATTATAAAAACGAATCATACTTCTGTAATTATGAGTTTATTTTTTTATATATGAGTCGATGAATTTGTTTAACACGAGCGCTGTGATCACACATTTATAAAAAAAAGTACTTTGCTATCCATGTTAATGTAAAATGCATCGTATTAATAATATTTTTATGAAAAATTATTAAAATATTGAATGTTTTTTTTTAATAATGTTATACAATATTTTATCGAGGTTTTTTTTTTAAAGATTTATTAATATGCAGGTTATGCATAATGAAATATAAAGTATTCATTATATCGATGAATCACCAATTAGCAAGTCAATTTGTAAATAAATATATCATAATTTAAAATCATAATTCTTAAAATGGATATTTTTTTGTAAGAATTTATAAATATTGATTAAATTTAAAAATTTATAAATATTAAATATGAGAATATATGGATAGTGTCATATTTGGAATGTGTTATTAAATCTTGGTAATTTCTTTTGTGCAATATTTTTTATAATCGATTGCATTGTTTATCATTAACTTTGTACTATAATGGTACTTCGCAAATCGAAGATTTTA